GGAGGGGGCAGGGGCCGACAGGGACCCAGCAGACAGCTACCGCTAGACCAATACATACCAGACTGACGACAGACAGTCATGGACCCGCGCGCGTCACTGCCCGACCAGCTGAACTACCGTCACTGACGGACCAACTGACAGACCGGCCGTCAACGTCTGACCAGCTGACCGACCTGTCAAAGCGACTGACCGATTGTCACTGACCGACTGTCACTTACTGACTGCCACTGCCCGACCAACTGACCGACATCACTGCCGAACACCAAATCAACTGACCGACTGCCATTAACTGCCCGCCTGTCACTGCCCGCCCAGATGACTGACTGTCATAGCCAACATAGCTGCCCGACCGACGATGCCAAATCAACTGACCCGACTGTCATTTGCCAGACCAGCTGGCAGACCGACCTCATGGTGATCGTCCAGCAGTGACGGTTGACACTTGACACCTGTTGGAACAAATCCAGCCGCTCCGACCGACACGTGAGAGACGAGTCGCGAATGCGATGTCACGACCGCCTGAGTCCAGACGGAAGGGCTGGGAGCAGTCGCACGAGTTCCCATCTGACGCAATCCCTGACCGAGCGTCATCATTTCAGTTTAGCTCATCTCCCTGGCAACGTGACATAAAAATAATCCTTCTGATAGGTAGTAACACTGGCGACCATATTCGTCAGTGGCTTTACCAAAGAGGCCAGCCCAAAGCGTCACTCCGTCTTCAATGTCATCCTTTATTACTGGGCCTTTGATTGTCGCTGGCCACATTTGTGGTTTTCGTTGATTTGATCATTGTCTGGTGGCTGGTAGCTGGCTGAAATTCCATCACAGCCTGTGTGGCTTAGATCGCTCACGCTGCAGCCCAGGAGCAGCACCCGACCACACTTGCCGCTGCGGCCCACGTGGCTGTCATTGGGGGGCAAGATTACATTGGGGGGGGGGGGGGGGGGGGGGGGGGAGGGTGACAAGTCACCGATCAGTGTTTCGACAACTGTGGAAAGGTCCTACCATCCACACCCGGAGCCTGTCATACGGCTGACAGAGGCCTGATGCAAACCTGACAGCGGTTTAAATCGAACTCGTGGGCTCTCTTGATCGACTAGACATGCAAGCATGCAGTTCGAGCCAGTTCGAAAAACAAACAGGATTCACCAGTAGAATAGGTAAAACCCCAACAGCTACCTCCACCGACAGGCGAGCGGCCGAGCTTGTGCAGCGCTCTGAATTTTCATGAGTGCTTCTCACCATCAAATCAACAGGGGGGGGGGGGGGGTTGGAACCCATCTAAATAATGCACAATGCTGCATTCGGCGCCTAACCGTGGACGCAGCAGCACCACCCTCCGCTGCGGGCTGGCAGTATCCGGCGCCAGGTGCCGGCGGCTGCTGCCGGGCACACGTACCGGTTCCGACAGCTCTGCCAGCTCCGCGCCCCGGGTACCCACAGGTGGCGGCGGCTGGCCTTTTGTCGGCCCGTCACACGGCGACCGGCCTCGTCACGGAACACGTCACGTTACGTCGTCACAATGACGGGGACAGGTGCACTCAGACCGCACCTGGGACGGCGGATTAGGATTGAATTGTTCGATCGTGTCAACACGAGAATGACCTGCAACGATGGCATGACTTGTGGTAAACTGCGTAGGTATTGAGAGACGCACGAGCATAATACCCATTTAGTTCGAACGCAAACGCTTTGCAGCTATTTATTACACAACCTTTCTGGAACATCTCATTCGTAGTTACCAAAAGCCACAAGGGACAGTGCAATTAGTTGCCAAGCATCGACCCCTCCCGTCCCCCAATACGACAATTTACTCCTGTTTGCTGTGGAGGACGCCAGATGGACACCTGTGCACACGACTGGGATGTATGTTCAGCAGGCATTCAGTTGTGCCACAGCGAGGCATGAGAGTCAACCCACACTAGGGTCTCCTGCCTGACAGGAGACTTGCCTGGTCAAAAGAGATGGAATGCTTCACTTCCCAATCAAGATTTAGCAGCATGAAAGCACGATGGGTATATGTGAAAATGAAGTCCAAGTGGTAGGTTGTAGGCTGGTAGGATGTAGGTTGGTACCAACCTACATCCTACAACCTACGTAGGTTGTAGGTAGGTTGATATTGATAGGTTGTAGGCTGGGCAGGCATCATTCTGTTTTTCAGAATCCATGGATGACATGCACAGGAGGTGGGGCAAAATGTTCCTGCTGATTGGCTAGGACCCCAGGGCATCCAATTAACCCAACTACCATACATCAACTTTAGTTCGAGTTGCTGACTTTTGAAAAAGTAGGTACTACCCGATCTTATTGATCTCCTGGTATTGTGGCTTGACAAGAACAATCAGGATCAGGTACCAGTAGGTGTGGAGTATTTGATGTGGTGGGACCAGTGTGCGTCCAGTCTTGCCTTGAAGCAGTTCAGCGATGGTGCACCAACCACCTTGGAAGGGAGCCCATGCCAGTCGTTCACGACTTGAGCGGCAAAGGAGGACCACATCAGATAATGACTTAAATACTGATATAGCCGTCCTACGATGTTTAGGTCATTACAAAGGTCATTATAAAGGTGAATATAAAGGTCATTAGGTAACAGTAAAGGTAGGTCCGGTATCTACCTTACCTTACCTTACCTTGAAGGTCATCGGGAGCCATTTGGCCTATAGGTCCCGTTCTCACCGACTTGCTTTGCGGTGACATTCAGGACTCTTAACCCTCGCCGGCACAGGCCATTTTGCGTCCTTCGACGGCACAAGGGGGGGGGGGTTGGTACGACCCCCCTCGCGTTTGGCCCCTGATCGAGCTAGAGCTTCGCGGAAAAAACGAGCGTGTTGCCCGTCACGAGAGGAAGCCGATGATACCCAATTTTAAGGTCCTAGGTCATCGGGTGACCTTCCAGGTCAGGTCAATGACCCGAAAACCGGGAAAATCGGGACCTGTTAGAAAGTCGTAAAGTGTGGCTGCTATGTGGTTTTCCGGGGATGTGATCACGAATATCGTGTTAATTTTGATCAGAGATGATGTTTTTAAGCATTTAGACCAGGTCGGGTCAGGTCAGGTCAGGTCAACCGGTAGGGGTTGTGACGGGTATTCGTAATACGTGTCAACCGCCTCTGGCAGCTTCGTAACATGTTACGAGGGCACCAAAACTACTTCGTAAATGTTCAAATGGTTGCTAAATTCGAATTCAGCAGCCTAGAAACATGTAAAACTCGAAAAAGTGAACCGAGGTCACCCGAGGTCACCAAAGGTCAATGACCTGACCTGACCTTCAGGTGACCTTGACACCCACCCTAATGTATGGGAGCAACATCAAATCACATGTCTGAACGTTTGAAACCACGAAAAGCTTGCAAACGCGCGGCTAATGCAAGCCGACATACGCCGAATCGCGATTTCCGCCAAACATGGTCACGGAAAAGAGGTCACAGGTCAAAGGTCATTGGGGTCAGGGTCATGAAATTTTCAGGGAACGTGTAAAATTGATCAATGCGAGGGTAGTGAAAGTTTCGTCGCGATCGGCCGCTTTTTACGCGAGTTATTCGCGAAAAACCTTAGGGGGGGTTGATGCACCCCCCCCCCCCCCCCTGTGCCGGCGAGGCATGACATACTCGTACTCGTACATTAGGTGGGTCCAGTGACGGTCGAGTCGTGCCTTGAATATCGAGAGCGTTTCGGCAGACACGACTTCAGCAGGTACCTGCTGGAACGCTGTACGTAGAGCGTTCCAGTCGTTGATGATGCGGACGCTGAAGCTGCTTCGTCGAGCGAGTGTCACAGCTTGGGGTTTGAGCAGTTTCCACCCGTGTCCTCTTGTCAGCTCGGTCTCGTTCTTGGTGAAGAAGGTGCTTGGGCGTTGGCGGCACATCAATTCCACAGTGGAACAGCTGGTAAACCGTCAACATACTCGTATCTCCCCTGCGGCGGCGGTAGAACAGTGCCGGCAGACGGAGACGCTCAGGACGCACGGGGTAGGGAAGGTGCTTGATAGATCCCACCATTCGCGTGGCGCGTCTCTCGACCCTTTCCAAGCGTTTCTGGTCTCCTTTGCTGAACGGTCACTCCCCAGGGCCCAGACCGCGTTTCCGAACTCCAGAAACGGACGGACAACTATTAACTACCCTAACCTTGCCTTGTAGAGCAAGGGTAGGGTCGTCTCATCGATGTGAATCAATGAATCAATGAATCCATGAATCGATGAATGGTGAGCGAAGGATGGATCGCTTGAGATGACGGCGAGCAGCTGCGAGGCTTTTGAGACGGCCGCCGCCGTTTGCGAGTGGAACTTCATGGCTCCTAGTCGATTATAAATTAATCCCAAAGTTTCCTTCTTCATCCACTACGGCGAGGGCGTCCCGTTCAGCTTATACCCGGGTGCAGGGTTTCTTGAGCCCATGTGCATCACCTTACACTTGGCTACGTTGAACGGCAGCAGCCATCTTGAGGACCATCGTGCTAGAGCGTCCAGATCACTCAGCAGACCAGTGCCACGGTCGGATGTATGAGTGACTTATATAGCTTGGTGTCGTCTGCAAACATCTTCATGCAGCTTGAGACCTCCAGTGACAAATCGGTGATGAATATTGTGAAGAGTGTTGGACCCAACACTGAGCCTTGGGGGATACCATACTGCTATGATACTGCTATGGGCGCTAGACAGGTGCCCACTCAGAGCTGCATCCCCAGATCAGCACCTATTGACAACGGCCAACTAGGAAGGCCCGTATCCAGGTGAGAAGCTTGCCTCCGACACCATATGACCTCAGTTTCTCGAGAAGACATTTGTGCGGCAGTCAAACGCTTTGGCGAAATCCATGTAACTACCTACACCATATCCACCCTTTTGAGTCAGAGTAATCAGACTATGAGTCCCATTACAAGCAAAACTGAAAACAAATGAGGGTAATGATAATACTGAATTAAACTTGAATTACCATTGTGCATGGTGACCACAACAGTAACACAGAGAATGGATCACATCTTGATCTTCAACTTTGACTTACCTGTAACTTTGAATCTTCGAGTTCAAATATTCTATTTGTCTTCCAGCAATTGCTGCAGTATCTAAGCAGCATAAATGAAAAGGTGCAAAAGAATCCGTGCCTAATCAACGCGAGAATTTGGTAAGGTAATACTTGGGTAATACGCGATCGGACGGAGATGAGACGCGTGGTTGCCTCTCGCACTTTGCTTCCAAACCCAAGGTCAAGCACCGTGAAATTGAAAGTGGATATTCCTTGGCTAATATTATAGCAGTTGTAATATTACGCCCAAGATTACGCCCAATAAGTCTGTTGGTGTTTGGTTGATGTTTGCGAATAAGCTCTTATTGAGCTGTGCTACTCACTTTCTCATTAAAATTGTAGCTCAACATTTTTAACCAAAAAGCATTGATTTTTTCTATTCTGTTGACCTTGCATCAACATTCTACAAAAAGCATAAATTTAGCAATTATTTGGGCCAAAAACCTTGGCTGATTTTCACACCCCTAGGCTAGTCACCTATATCGTCGTCGTGTCACGGGGGTCATGAGTGAGAAATGCTATAAACCAAGGCCCTATATACCCTATAAACAAATTGCAAAGAGTACCCAGAATCCCAGTATCAATGATCTTGTCATCCATGTCCAGCTTTTAAACGCAGTTCACACTTGACCGTCAGTCTGTCGGTGTCGGGCCCGTCACCGTCGACCTGACGGCCGGCAGCCCGTCGAACGAAAGTTGAGATTTGGTAGCTCCCATTGGCTGCCATATATTGTGACAGAAATGGCGCACCATTTTCGAGATTGACGCAGATGGGGGAAGGGGATGGGGAGGCCGAGAGGTTAAAATATTATTTGAATTACAGAAATAAAATACCACGCATTTACATTTTTATGTCAAATATTGCTGAAATTTTATTTAAATGAAAGACACATAGGTTCGCTGATTTAAATCAGGGATCGAATCTCAAGATATCGTGCCGTAATAAACACTTTCATCTAAAAAATGGATGGAAATTGGTATTAATACTCTTAAAAATGCATATAAGCTTAATGCTGCATGAGAACGTTCCTTTTCCTCTTCCTCCAACACGCAGATATTCAAACCGACGGGCCCGTCACCGTCAAAAGTTGAACATTGCTGAACTTTCCAAAGCGACGGCCGTCAGGTCCGGCGCCGGCGCAGTCAGCTGTTGCCGACCGTCAAACGCTGCCGGTTCACACATGCCCGTCGACCTGACGGCCGTCGCTCCGTCAGATTCGGCCGTTTTGACGGTGTCGGGCCCGTCACCGGCAGACCTTACGGGCAAGTGTGAACTGCGTTTTACACCATTGCCTTTGTTGTGAAATGCGACCACCTTAGTTTGTGAGCTCCAGCCGGGCCGGCCGGCGACGCGCGCGCGAGTTGTGAGCCGCTGTGGACACGTGACCGGCCGCCTGCGGGCGAATTGGGCGGAGCCGACTGCGGCGGCGGCCGCTGATCAGCGGTCAGTTGGCGTCCTGATCTCGAACCCGTAAGGTACGGCCTTTTGCGGCTGATCTTTGCACACGGGTAGAGTGACGGCGCGACTCAGGCACCGGGAGAGTGCGGCCTTGAGGCTGACTCCTTGCACACCGGTTGCTACCGCTGGTCGGCTAGGCTTCGAGGAGGGGTGGAGGGTCGGCTATCGGTGGCGGCGCGGGGTAACCCGGTGCCAACCCCAAATTGGAACCTTTGTGGTGTAGTGTATTTCTGGATCGGATATCGGTAAGGTCAGCTAATGCTGTTTAACTCCGACAATTGTCGTTTAAAGGGTGGCTAGCCACGGGTTGTATTTGATTGTGCTTATCATCACAATATATCGCGGCACTTCAACGCATTTCTTTAAGTAGTCGGTTGAAACTTACAGTCGATCCGGTCTTAGGGTTTGTCTGAATACAGTCCACACTTTTATACACGGCCAGAGTCGCAACATAGTCCTCCGCGGGCCGGATGTAACTGTACCTTTGGAATTTTTCGATCAGTCATTGTCGGTCAGTAACTGCTTGTTTTTTTTAGATTCCCTTTCTGAACATTGCCTGTCATGGAGGAATTGATCGCCACTAGGACTAGACTTCGCTCAAAGGCCACAAAGCTCTGCAACGATTTAAAGGCTTGTCGGCAGGAGGATCAAAGATCCTTGGATCAGGATCAGCTGGCATTGAAAATCCACCATGTCGAGAAGCTGCTGGGCGAGCTTCAAGGCACCCAAATTCAGCTTGATAAGGTAGGGCAATCGGATGAGACCAGCCATATCCAGATGATGGAGGATGAGATATTTCTGAGTTCTCGAGTTCTAGCCCGCCTCGAGAAGGCTGCCGAGGCCAGGGGCGTGCCTGTGCCGGGGAACTCGACAGCGAACTCTGAATTCAAATCCTCTCTGGCTGTCAAAATCCCAGTTTTCGGTGGCGACATCATGAAATGGTCAGAGTTTTGGGAGTTGTTTATGGTCTCAGTTCATCAGAATCCTGGTTTCGAAGATGTTCAGAAGTTTGTCGTGCTGAAATCGCATTTAGCTGGTGCAGCCCTTCAGGCCATTCAGGGTATCCCAGTCTCTGGCAACGGCTACGCCGAGGCTGTGGCAGTTCTCAAAGAGAGGTTTGACCGAAGTGAGCTCTGCCGAGAGACGCTCATGAGAGAGCTTTTGAACATGCCTGCAGTCCGCTCCAATGATCTGAGGGCCCTGCGGTCACTGACGGACCATATCGCTGCCCACACCAGAGCCTTAAACTCACTCGGTGTCACATCAGACAGCTTCTCTTCACTCTTACTGCCCATGGTTAAAGAGAAGCTTCCAGAGAGCTGGCGAGTTGAGTGGGCAAGACAGGGAAAAACACAGTTCGCTGATTTTCTTGAGTTCCTTCAGCAGGAGATACGGGTGCAGGAGTATGCGAGAGGTGTAGCGGCACCAGATGCTCCCTCAAAGTCTCCAAACTCCGCGGCCTCTGTAGCTGCCACCCTTAATGTACAGCGCATGCCTCGCGCTTCAAACAAAATGTGCCCTGCTTGCTGCAGTGGGACGCACCCGCTCCCACAGTGCCGATCATTCTTGAAAATGGATCCTGAGGCTCGGTGGAGAGTTGCGTCGGCATCAATGGCCTGTTATTGTTGCCTAATAGGAGGACATCGCGCTCGAAGCTGTCGGGCTGGAGGCTGCAGCAAATGCGGACGGAATCATCACGTCCTGCTGCACCGCCACTCCGCTGCCCATTCTCCGCAGTATCCGGGTGTTGGGGTGGCACCCACGACTGGTGCAGATGGGCCCTCGCCGGCTGGTCTGCGGCCGAGGGGTGCAGAGGTGAGGCCCCAGGACGGCCACTTGGAAACAGGGCAGCGTCCATCCAGCTCAGGCCCTCCGCAGCCCGCTGCTGCTGCGCAGGCGCCGCCGGTGGGTCTGTTCAGGCCAGAAACGGTCCCAATCAGCACGGCTGGGGTAAGGACAGAATCACGTGATTTCAATGTCGGACGGCATCGCTACCAGGCTGGTGGGGGGAACATTGGCAATTGTTTCTTCCAGACAGCGCTGGTCAGGGCCGGTGATCCCCAGAACGGTCGAATGGTTCGGCTTCTCTTGGACGGGGGATCAGACTCCTCTTACATACGCAGCTCCCTGGCAGAGGAGCTTGGACTGCCGGTCGTTGGCACCGGGACCTTCTCCTGCATCGGTTTTCAGGAGAAGCTCGAGGAGCCACGGGAATACGACCGAGTCAGGATCGATTTGAACAGCCGGTTCGATGACGGACATGTGACTATTGACCTGTGGAGCACGGAACGGGTGTGCTCTCCCCTCCCGGTGCCGTCCCTCTCGAAGGTGCCCGGTCAGATGCCCGAGATGATGGCCGATGATTTTAAGGGAGGCGAGATTGACCTGCTAATCGGTATCGATAACCTCTATCGAATCGTGCAGTGGGAGCAGGTCGATGTAGGTGACGGACTTCGGGCCGTCGCCACCGTTTTCGGCTACGTGATGCACGGCCTCCACACGCACAGTGACAGATTTGAGGATTCTCCGTGCCGAAGGACGGAGAATCTCGCCATGAGGATGACTGCTGGAAGACTCGACGAGGAGAGCGTCGGTCCACATCACGGCGAGATGACGGACATGCTGGTTGATCCTGTCCTCGAACCGGGGGGAGGACTGACGGTGACCGACTGCGTGCCGGCGTCCCATAAGGAACCACCCATCACTGAAACGGGGGGAGGACGGACAGTGGCCGACTGCGGACTTGCGTCCGATTCGGAGCTGTCTCCGGCCTCAGACGGTGTCGCGTCTCTACATCGAGGGGCTCGATATGACAGAGTTGATCGGGTCCGGCGGCGGCGCCGTCGCCATCGTCGTATCGATGCTCATTTGACAGATTGCTGGAAGCAGGCCGTGTTGCGTGCCTGGACTCTGTCGCCGCGAGGAAGACCTACCCGTTTGCCCAAGGTGGGAGACGTGTTCCGAGTTCATAGCGACAGGCACCGCGGTCGCTGGCCTTTGGTCCTGGCTGAGCGGCAGATCTCTGGGCCTGGCAGGCACGGACGAGCGGACAGGAGATGTGTTCCGGACAACTAGGTGGCCAATGAAGAAGCTGAATCCTTAACTGTTTTGATGATTCTAGACTGAACAGCAGTTGTATTGAAGTGTTTGAAAAATGTAAATGGCCTTATGAATGTATTTATGTGTGTCCTGACCTGAAATGACATTTATCGGGTTGCGCTTGACTTTTCTTTCTTTTTGCAACAGACCCTGTCCTGACGCGTGAGCTCTCGGTCAGCGAAGCAGCGGCATGGTGCTCTGCGGTGCTTCACCGGAACGGTCTTTTGGACTGTCCGGTCACAAGCAATGGACAGATGGACCGGTACGGCGGCTGGACGGTGACACGGCGGCCGGACGCTGATCGCACGAAGACCGGGCGCACTGGACTTTCCCGGAATGGCTCAAGCTGAAGCCAGGCGAAGCGAGTGCGGTGTGCGTGTGCCTAGCTGGACACTGGGCAGTGACGTGCAGTGACGATGTGTACGTGATGCGGCGGACGCGGTGCTGACGTCACGGTGATATCGGTGATTCATTGCGTCCAAGATGGCAGTTCATTTTGTGTTGAAAATTTGTTAATTTTCAAGGGGGGAGTATGTTGTGAAATGCGACCACCTTAGTTTGTGAGCTCCAGCCGGGCCGGCCGGCGACGCGCGCGCGAGTTGTGAGCCGCTGTGGACACGTGACCGGCCGCCTGCGGGCGAATTGGGCGGAGCCGACTGCGGCGGCGGCCGCTGATCAGCGGTCAGTTGGCGTCCTGATCTCGAACCCGTAAGGTACGGCCTTTTGCGGCTGATCTTTGCACACGGGTAGAGTGACGGCGCGACTCAGGCACCGGGAGAGTGCGGCCTTGAGGCTGACTCCTTGCACACCGGTTGCTACCGCTGGTCGGCTAGGCTTCGAGGAGGGGTGGAGGGTCGGCTATCGGTGGCGGCGCGGGGTAACCCGGTGCCAACCCCAAATTGGAACCTTTGTGGTGTAGTGTATTTCTGGATCGGATATCGGTAAGGTCAGCTAATGCTGTTTAACTCCGACAATTGTCGTTTAAAGGGTGGCTAGCCACGGGTTGTATTTGATTGTGCTTATCATCACAATATATCGCGGCACTTCAACGCATTTCTTTAAGTAGTCGGTTGAAACTTACAGTCGATCCGGTCTTAGGGTTTGTCTGAATACAGTCCACACTTTTATACACGGCCAGAGTCGCAACAGCCTTTGCTTTCTTCTCTACAAGTCCCCCAACGAGCTGTGAATTGTGTTTTATTGGTGGACATCTCTCATCTGCTGGCCCCCAGCGTCCTCTGCAATATCAATAGTGACAGAGGTCCCCGGCACGCTGATCACTATTTATGGCCTTGCGCTGATCAGTGATCACTGCTGACACAAGGCGCCTGGTCGACATGTGTCAGGACCACCAAGGTTTGCCGTTTCGCATTAACCTCGACCTCAAGGAGATTGCGCGGTACCTCGCCCAAGATCGCGCGCTCAGCGCTGACTACTTCCACCGTAAAAAGTTCAATGAGCATCTCATCTCAAATCACACAACCGCGATGGCAGGCTTCTTCATCGCGATCACACGGACTTATGGTGGTAATTGAAATAGCCTGGCGTGTGTACCAAGGAACTATTCCATAAGCCACTAAACTACTAGATATTCAACATGTATTCAAACATCACGTCTCCTAACACACCAAACGTCAAGCATCCTTCTCAGTTTCAGACTCGTGCAAACGGGAGACGACACCGACATGCTCTCACACCCACAAGACGATGCACTGGTATGCCGGCCGGTCACGGCAGAGCCCCGGGTCCGTCCGTCGAACAGGCTAACTGACGGGGCTCGATGTGAGGGCCGACCCGGCTCGACCCGCACCGTCCGCCCGTATCAGTATCGAGCCGGATAGATCTAGGATCGGCACCGCTCCTAGATAGGATAGGATAGGATGGGCACCGCTCGCGGCGCCATCTCGGCTCACAAACACCATCACACCACATCTCGGGAGCAGGCGGTACTAGACACTAAGCGCGCCTGAAACTACGCACCCCTACCAGACTGGGTGTCGAAACCACTGCAATAATCAATTGTCAAATGCAGATACCGATTGCAATTACTTTCAAAGGTCGAAAAAGACGGGTATAATTGCGACTCAGCCCGCCTGGTCCGACTTCTCCCGGATGATCGAGAGACGGGTGTAGTTCCCAGGCAGTATACCATGACCGTCCACGGAGGAGACATATTTCTCCGGGAACCATCAGGGGGGGGGGGGGATAGCGCCTGTCGAGCTGCCCGGCGCTCAGCTGTCGCATACAGTCAGTCCGTGCGACGTCCTCAGTGGTCGTCGCCGTCCAGCGGTTTGCTGATGGGCCGTGGTAAGGCCGCCAGCCGCTCGGCCTCCTCGGGAAAGACGGGCTCGGCGGGCTGCAGCCACGGCTGCCGCCGGTACGGCAGACGGTCGCGCGGCTCGGTGGCGTAATGGTGCAGTCGGCACCGCACCGGCACCTGCTCGCAGTTGTTGATCTGCGGCACAGAGTGAAACGAGGGCGGGTCAGCGGTCAGATAAGGTCCAGCAAACTGAGAACCGATAGATGGTAAACTATGCACACTGCACATGGCACAGACTATTAGAATCGTTACCTGCCAACTCACAAAACACATTAGCCGTTCGGCGTTCCGAGCGGACACATACCGTGACGGTGACGATGAACTCCTTGCCCTCGAGTCCCTCCACGTCGGGACCTTCGATGGCACCCGACGGCATCTCCAGGCAGTGCTCCGGCACCACGAAGCCCGCCTTTCGGAAGGCCACGCTCAGATGCCAGGGCTGCAGAACCCATGGCTGATCGAGGTTCATCGAGACAGCCAGCACCTGACGCGACAGCACTTTGGCCGTCTGTGGAACGCGCACAGACGTGTTCAGTTGCGATATAGTACACGAAATGACTCACGACCAGGTGTGTGACAAAGGTTGCAAGGCATGAGAAGTTTATCGTGTAACAGTGACTTTCAGATGTAGTATTTAGTAGCGTATTACTTACCGAGCCGACCGAACTTACACTTCAACAGCGGCCCGCACAAAATATGCACACAATTTACATACAAATCCATATATCCTCAGCGTAGCACGTCATCTCCGTAATTAGTCATCCCCAACAAACAAACAAACAAACAAACAAACAAACAAACAAACAAACAAACAAACAAACGTTTTAACTATGAGCGACATAAATTTAAAAGTTGCACTAAGAAGACAAACCATTGCCCTTTGGAAGAGCCAATGTGTTCGAATTTTCGATTGTAAGCACTCGCCCATACCAACGACAAGTGGACGCGCACCTGTGCGGAGTATATCGACGAGTGCCTGACTTCGTCGGCGGACGAGTGTTCGGCCACGTTCCGGTACTTCTCCTGGTTCTCCGGAGAGGCGTACACGGCGCGCCCGAACGCCAGCAGCTCGTTCTGGGCTTTGGTCACCTTCACGGAGACAGTGTCTCCCGGCTTACCGAGACCTGCCGAAACAAAGGCGACACTGTTGAATTGCGGTTCCACGGTTGTGCAGTTCACCTGCATCTGAAATTTCTTGCCTTTTTCAAGCCCGTCCATAGCCCAGTATTATCATCAGTGGCGTATCCAAGGGGGGATCCTGGGGGCCCTAGGATCCCCCCTGGAGCCTAGAAAAAAAAGTTTTTTTTTATAACACGGAACAAATTGAAATGACTTCAAGGGCCCTTTTGACCACTTCCCATTTTATTCGCTAAAAGAAAAAGTATTGTAGAACTCTTTTAGGGACCCTTTGAGGATTATTAGAGGACACATTTAGGCCAATGAGGGACCTTGTGAAGTATACAGAGGGCCTTCTCAGGTACACAGAGGACCCTTTCAGGCACACAGAGGGCCCTCTCAGCCACACAGGGGGCCCGCTCTGGCACACAGGGGGCCCTCTCAGGCACACAAAGGCCCTCTGAGACACACAAAGGGCCCTCTCAGGCACACAGACGGTCCTCTAGGGCTTACAGAGGGCCCTCTCAGGCACACATAGGGCCTTCTCAGGCACACAGAGGGCCCTCTCAGGCAAACAGAGGGCCATCTCAGGTACACAGAGGGCCCTTTCAGGCACATAGAGGGCGTTCTCAGGTACACAGAGGGTCCTCTTAGACACACAGAGGGCCCTCTCAGGCAAACAGAGGGCCCTTTCAGGTACACAGAGGGCCCTTTCAGGCACACAGAGGGCCCTCTCAGGCACACAGAGGGCCCTCTCAGGCACACAGAGGGCCCTCTCAGGTACACAGAGGGCCCTTTCAGGCACACAGAGGGCCCTCTCAGGCACACATAGGGCCTCTCAGGCACACAGAGGGCCCTCTCAGGCTCACAGAGGGCCCTCTCAGGCACACATAGGGCTCTCTCAGGCACACAGAGGGTTCTCTGAGACACACAGAGGGTCCTTTCAGGCAAACAGAGGGCCGTCTCAGGTACACAGAGGGCCCTCTCAGGCACACATAGGGCCCTCTCAGGCACACAGAGGGCCCTCGCAGGCAAACAGAGGGCCCTCGCAGGCAAACAGAGGGCCCTTTCAGGCACACAGAGGACCCTTTCAGGCAAACAGAGGGCCGTCTCAGGTACACAGAGGACCCTTTCAGGCACACAGAGGGCCCTCTCAGGTACTCAGGGGGGCCTCCCAGGCACACAAAGGGCCCTCTAAGACCAGCAGAGGGCCCCTTAAGACGAACAGAAGGCCCTCTGAGGTACGAGGGTCAATGTCAGGCCACAAGGTACCCTATGAGGCCACCAGACGGCCCTCTTAGATCAAAGATGGTCCCTGGAGGTCACCAAAGGGCCCTCTGAGGTGAACAAAGGGCCCTCTGAGATCGAAGAGATCAAAGAGATCAAAGAGGGCCCTCTAAGGCGAATGGAGGGCCTTCAAAGGTCACAAAGTGCCCTCTGAGGCCACTGGAGAGCCTTCTGAGGTGATATGAGGCTATGTCAGACCACCATGAGCCCTATGAGGTCATCAGGCCCTCTGAGATCAAAGAGGGTCCTTGGAAGTCATCGGAGGACCCCTTAAGGCTCATTGAGGCGAACAAAGGCCAGAGGGTCCCCTTAGACACCACAAAGAAGTAAAAAAGATCCCTCTGAGGTCAAAGACAGCTCTCTGAGATGTAATAGAGCCATTTGAGGCCTCCGAGGGCCCTCTGATGCCACAGAGAGGCGCCCTCTGATGCCAAAACAGGGTCCTCTGAAGTCTAAATCCACCAGAGGGCCCTCTGAGGCGAACAGAGGGCCCTAACATCCACCTCAAAGAGGGCCCTCTGAAAATCAACTGGCCCTCGGAGTCAGTGTCCCAAAATCGTATTTTGGCTTGGGTGTCAGAGGGGGAAAAGGTCACCCAAAAGAGGGATAAGAGTGGACAATTGTCAGTCACAGGGCAGTCGGAGCCCTCTGAGAAGGCCACTTGAGCCTTACAACAGAGGGCCCTCTGAGGTGATATGAAGGGTATGTCAGGCCACTATGGGCTCTATGAGGTCATCAGGCACTCTGAGGAAAAAGCTGGCCCTCTGAGGCGAACAGAGGGCCCTTGGACAATCAGAGGACTTTTTAGGTCAACTAGGGGCCTTATGAGGCCAGCAAAGGACCCTTTCGGACACAAACAGGGCCTCTCAGGCACCCGGAGGGACCTCTTTTCTAAGGCAAACAGGGGGTCACCTTAGATGATATGAGGGCTATTTTAGGCCACTAGGGGCCTCATGTATTAGACCAACATACGGTCAGTTGAAGTAAAAGAGAACCTTTTGAGGTAAAAAGGGCCCCTGGAGAGAAAACTGAGGGACCTTTCAGGTACCCAGAAGGTCCATGGAGGCCACTAGAGGACCCTTTGAGGCCAGTGATGGTCTTCAGAGGCCATCAGAGGGTCCCTCTGAGGGTAACAGAGGGTCCTTAAGACGACCAGAGGCCCTCCGTAAAAATGCGGGCGTCACAAGGCCCGGTTTGCATCAAAGGTCAGGAAGCTATGCCCAGTTTTGGCTCTCTGTTGCCTGCCGACGTGTTCCGAGCTGTCGCAAAACAAAAAGCGATGTGGTGGCACCCACGCCCCCCCCCCCCCCCGGCCGGCCAGGGTCCTTCTAACCAGGGATGCGGAGGCGTGGAAGTTTCAGACGGCTCCGGCTCCGGCTCCGGCTCCGGAGAAAAAAACGGCTTCGGCTCCGGCTCCGGCTCCGGCTTCGACTCCAGTACTCAGTTCATCCTTTATACAAATAAATACGGGTGGAAAAGAAAAGATGAAGGATTGGTTCACGTTGCTTCTGTATTTGCATAACAAGGCTATTTTGAATACCACGGCCGCTGGATGACTGGCCGCTTTTTTTCCTCTTCAAAAAAAAAAAACAGCCGGAGTCGCCGCCTTTTTTACCGCTCCGGCTCCGGCTCCGGGCTATATTGTTTCACGGCTCCGGCTTCGGCTCCGGGCAAAATATGCCGGCACCGGCGGATCCTCCGGCTCCAGCTCCGGCTCCGCACCCCTGCATCTATAACTCGGCTTCTGAGCCACGTACCAACACGCCTAAGGCAGTGTTCGAAGGGACGCAAGCAAACAATAATGACGAAATTACGCCTGTCACTTTTTAGTTCAAAATTCAGTTCACATAGGTCATCCAAGGTTAAATTTCGCCAATTTTCAGGTCCAATTTCGACAATTTTCAACAAACCACCGCATGATTCGGAAATGAATAGAGCTACAGTACCGGGGAAAAGCGTAGTTAATAGCTCTTTTAACACCCCTTTCGCCGTTTCCATCCTCAGGACATTCAAATCCTTCTCCTCCATGCCGCAACCCCTGATCCGGACTGGACCTGGACGGGCAACTTTATTCCATGCGGGCGGCTCCCATTGGAGCGCACTGCAGCTCCTAAGGAAGCACACTCGTAACCGGGTGCAGTGAGCACTTGGGAGGCTGGTCGGCCTGTCCTGTTGGACAGGCTCAGCCCCAGTGAGTCACCAAGGTGCCCGCCCAGACCAATGTCTCCCTCAATTCCTATCATCCCTCCGGCCCTGAAATGGTCTCGTCAGACCGAAAGCTGAAAGGGCCTGGGTCCAACCCAACAAAACAAACAAAGCTCTTTTAACGCTCTTTCTGTACTGTGCTCAGATTTGACCCAAGCCTGTTAATTCTACACTTTTTATATCGGAACATTTTCATGTTTCTACAGCTCTGTAGGCCTGATAGCTCTTCCTGCGAAACCTTTTTTGGGCCGAAAATGGCAGAACATGACGTCATTCTGACGTATTTGCGGCCAACCTATCATAGCCTCTGGAAAAAGGTCACAATGTGTAAAATGGATGCCCGGAGAGGTCCTGAAAGTTTGGTGGCGATATCTGCAGTCATTTAGGAGATAGCTACGGAAGAGGACAGGGGCCGTTTCGACCCCCCCCCCCCCCCTACGGGGCGCGGGCTAACGCCATTTCAACTCAGGCTTCAAGGGCCCTTTTGCCACTTAAGGGCCCTTTCAACCCAGTCAGTCAAGGGCCCTTTTGACTGCGGATCCCCCCTGAGAGAGATCCTAGATACGCCACTGATTATCATTAATTGTTGCTTCGGACATTTTTCATAGTCACATGAATATATCGTGGGAGCCATGCATCTATGTCTGAAAAAACCATCGTAACATAACAATGGGAATCAACTTTTAATGCCAGTATCGGCTCCACACTTACGTTGTTCACTTGCGTCTAAAGACATCATATTTGTAAGAAGTCACTTGCCTACAATATCGGAATGTCCTACTTTGTCAATGGCTACAGTTCTTTTCTGGTCGAAATTTCCAACGGAGCCTTGGATACATCGACTGGATGTACAATGCCCATATTTCAACTTTCGACTGGCACCAACAAACAACTCATCATAAGGAAAGCTCTAATTTCTTCATACCAATTCCGGACGACACTGCCCATAGCAATACGCACTGCGCAACTCAATGGTCCGATAAAATACTAAAACGCTGTGGTATTCCCCGCAAACCTGAAGAAACCAAGCAAGCAACACAAAAAGTCAGTGATATCTCAATTACTGCAAAGCACCCACCCACTCTAGCTGCAGTGGTTACTTACCCTCAACATACTGCGTAAGAATCACGTCGATGTTTGGAAGCGGTTGCGTGCCTGGCCGCTCTAAAGTTTCATAAATCTTGTGCTTCCGCCGCAGTTTTCGGTATGACCCTTCGGGGAATGAACGCTTGCTGAGCTGCGGCTCATTTCTTCGTTTCAGCACAAAGGTGCCGGCGTACTGTGAACATATCAAGCATGCTTATCTGAATAGGCAGGTAGTTTGAAAGAAAATCACTAGTTGAATGAACAACCTGACCATAAGTTACCAGAGTCTTAAACCGCGCCGGGCCGGGGGGTGTTTGAACACCCCCCCCCCCCCTGCGGTTTTTCGCAGATATCTCAAAAACGGCGGGCGGAGCGCCGCCGTTTTTGGCACACCTGTTCGTACATCTTTTCCGCACATGTTGTGAAAATTTCAGACCCAGGTCGCCTTAGGTCAGGTCACCAGGTCACGCCAAGTGACCTCACCTCAGAAAAAATAAGAATGCTCGTCATAGCTACACCGATTGATCGATTGCCTTTAAACTTTCAGCGATTGATAAGAGCAACAGCATCTAAAAAACGTATATCTCGGAATTTTGATATCGGTGACCTAAGGTCAGGTCAATTTTGTGGCCTCTCCATTATAAGTCAATGGGAGAAAATTGAAAAGCGTCTGTTTTGCACGAACGCCATTCTAGACACTCTCAAACATCGAGATGTAGGTAAAATTGACACACTGAACCAGAAAATGGCAACTGTGACCCCTCGTTATGTCCCCGAGGTCATCTCAGGTCACGAACAGAATCTAACAGTTTTTCGCTAATAACTTCTGATAGAGGCGTCCTCGAGCGCTGAAAACGCCTTGGATGTGTTCGGGGCTCGACGTTGCGGATCGACTGATATGCAACATGACCTTTTCCGGTCAGGTCATGACCTTGACCTGACGTCAAATTTTCAAGTTGACCATTCAAGGTCAACTTATAGTTCATTCGACGCGTCTCGACGAGAGGAACACGATGCTGGCAAAAGTAATGTCATGGCTCCTTTAAGTCAAAAGTTATCGCCGAAAAACCAATTTTCGTAAAAACGGCTATTTTTGGAGTTTTTGCCCTCTGGAGGCTAAACCGTTGACCTGAGGTCAAATCTGAGAACATCACTCAGAAAGGCCTGTAGAAGGGCTATCGAATGCGCTTTTCCGCGGCGCTGTAGCTCTATCGGTTCCCGAGATAGCCGTTGGCAGTTTCCAAAATGTTGAAATAGTCAACATTTTACCTTTGGTGACCTCTGGTGACCTGACCCTTGACCTGACCCAAAAAATGACTGAAGTGTTTTCGTCCTTATTTTGGACGTTCTTTCGATTGCCGCTTACCGCGTGTCGCTACGTGGCCCAGGAGCCGAGTTAGAAGGGGGGGGTGTTCAGACACCCCCCTCCCGGCCCGGCGCGGAATCTCAGAGCACCGGCCCGGCGCGGGTTAAGATTTACAATATTCTGGTAAAGCAAAGCAATAATAATAAGATCAGCTTAAACAGAGCTAGTTGATGACATTATTCTAAGGCTTGCATTTAGGAAAACCAGGAGAAAACATTCACCTTTAAAATGGCATAAAGTAACTTGACTAATGCAATACTCAAATTTTCTATCTTAACACCATTAACAACTTACCTGACTTGTATGACGAAGTTCTTGAGGGGTCGCAAGAGTTCTGATAGCTGAAAGGACTTGTTTTGTGCTCCTTGCCAAGAACATTTTGTTCACAGTAGCAATTACAAGTGCTGCAAAACACAACAAAAACCATAATGAATGTCATCTTTAGGGAAAGCATGCTGCCTTTTGGAATACCTATCTATTCATTACAGTATTCACCTGGTTCACACGCTGGTCAGGTTCCCTGTGCCATGCAAGGAATAAGGAAGGCAGAAAGGGAACAAATTAAAGAGACAGGAACAATTAATCCCATGCCCACGGCCCCTAGGTGCTGGCGGAGAGTGGGCGGAGCTAGGTGGCTGAAGTCACCCAAGTATAAACTATGACACACGCAGCACAGATTAAGGCTGCACGGACCCAAACAACCCTCAAGAAAGAGAAGTATGGGTCTGTTTCCGTGGCTCCTCCAACCTCCTCTAAGCTCCTCTAACCTCCTCCGGCTTCAAAAAATTGTTCCAGTCACCCCTCCAAGCTCCTCCAAACTCATCTTGATTCCATATCTCACCAACACTATTTGCCTACTCCTTCATCCCAATTCCCAAACAAAAGTTGGATTTTTTTTTAGGCTTTGATGTAGAGTGTAGACATTACTGGCTCACGTAATAAAAACGTGGATCGTTTTTTTAGGGTTTTGGGTGATGCATCAATAATTTCCAGATGTTGAGGAGAATGAAATTGCTTAAGATAATTATTTCCAATATTTATCTGTCTTCTTTACTTGAAAGCAATGTTCATCTTCAAGTTAATGCTACCGCGCCATAAATCGACAACCGTTAGAGCCCACAAACAGCTTATTTCCTCTCAGAGCTGTTCCAGTAGCTCCTCTGAAATGGCTCTCCTCAAAGCTCATCCAACCTTCTCCGATATTTTTTAGATCACCACGGGAACAAACTCTATGCTTCAGGATGTGAATTGTGACGTCACACGATGACGCAAAGGTGTGGGCATGACTGAATGGCGACATAGCCCTCACTGCAAATATAGCTGCAGCATATTTCATTTTGGCTGTGTAGCCGAATAGCTGTCATGCATCACAGCATAATATTCCATAAATTTTGACCTGAAACAGGACTATGGTTACCAAGGACATGGTGAAAAATGCTACACTGGCAATGAGCATTTATAGAAGTTCAGACATGATAAGTGTGGCGCGTGGTAAGTGGTGGCACGCTCCTGTCCTGATACCATCCTTTATTCAACAATACTGACAGTAATACCTGTAAACGCAATTTTCTGAGTTAATTATCGCATAAACCACGATCTAAACCTACTTTGCTGAGAAATGGCTGGTGTGAAAGCCCCGAGCAAAGCAACAAGAGGTAAGAAGACGAAAGTGGCGCATGTGAAAACGTCGAGAGAAGTGAGGTCAGTGGAAAATGATGATGTGAGGACTGTTAATGAAGCTGAAAATAGCTACATTTGTCCTAAATGTGGGAAGGAGGCTGAGATGGATGTTATAGAATGTGAAACATGTCATGAATGGTTTCACTTTGCATGTGCTGAGGTCACAGATCAGCTTCAGGATTTGAGTGATATTGAATGGATTTGTTGCATGTGCATGTCGCAGAGCGCAACTAACTTCGCAAATGGGTGTGGCAGGCATGATACTGCTGACAGTGCACTGAGGGGGATGATCTCAGAAACAGGGGACGATTCCGCAATTAAATTTGGCATGATTGAAACTGGCCATGCAAACGGGAAGCATGAGACGGATTCAACAATGGTGCTCCGCAAAGACCATGCAATGGGGGATGGCTATATGTGTGAGGGCGAAGAAGGTGGTTGCATGAGAAGCACTGCAAATGAACTCGCACCATGTGTAAATGATGAGACGCATCTGCATGGGCATGATGATATGCATGACACTGAAACTTTGACTGGGAGTCAAAAGGAGTGTGATAGCTTGCGGAGTGCTGTAATTATGCCAAGGGATACTGTTGAATCCTTCATACAAGCGGCCAAAGCAAACTCGGAAAAGAAGATAGAGACATTAGGGTTTCTGGCAGGTACAAAAGATGATGGAAGAGTGCGCGTCACATCAATAATAATACCTGAACAGGTAGGAACAACATCAACATGTGAATGTAGACAGGAGGAACAAGTGGTAGAATGCATTCGAAAAGACGATCTCATTCTGGTGGGGTGGATACCAGGGGGGTTCGCTCCCGTGCCTTCAGCATTACGAAAAATGGAAACAACCCGTGAGCAGCATCAGCTGCTCACGTATATGTTCAAGGAAAACAACATGTAATGGACTGCTGACGACGGCCCTCTCCACCAATCAGCGCTCGGCATCTCGAGCGCTGATTGGCTGGTAGCAAACGCGTCATATGTGGGTCTCATTTTTTTGCGATCAGTGAACGCGTTATTTAATATACACAGTGGCCTATGGAGAATGGCACGCGGAACTGAAGGTCAGTGTTATATTGCTTCGTACATGCGAATGGGGGGATTTGAGTGGCATTTGACACCATTTTCGAAATCTACAGTGAATTTCTGATCGACTCATGTATATATTTTTATGAATTTGATAGTATTAGTGCTACATAGTCGGTGTTTTATGTTGGTGTTGTTTCTCTCGACCTTTGTCTTGGACTTTTATCATATCTTTTCTCGAAAATGCTTGCCATAACCAAGTCTAAACTGTATCTGTATAAGAGATAATTTGTGTTGAATATGAGGAGAAAGTAGTTATGACCATTCTGCCCATCAAACTGCCAGAAGGTGTTCTTGTAAGGTGATTGAAACTTCAGTACGGGTTGCAGATGTGGGTTTGACATTAGCATTGTTGTTGTAACCCCACTTGCTCTAATAAAATGGAAACATGGGGTTATGCACCCACTATTGCACAGCCTGGTATCAAGCTGGTTGATATGTGGAGGATAATGAAAGCATAAAAACTTTTCTTAAGTGAAAAGGAGCGTTGCGTCTTGTGACTTTGTCAAGTCATTTTAAATCAAATGATTGTGATTGTAACTTTTACTTCAATTAATTATTGTTGCTAGTTTTGACCTTTTTGATCATCAAGTTTTATGTGTACCAATTTCATATGCTTGTGTAATGTCTGTGCAGCTTTGTGCAGTGTGCGTGTCTTGAAACAAGCCAATTTATTTTGTACTTTTTGTACTTCAACAAATGTATGTCAAAAGACAAAAATGTCATGTCTATTATCATTGACACTACTACAGCTAACTTTGCCTATATTCCTATCTTTCAGAGGCATTCAATTCAATCTGCTTTCCAGTGCAGTACCTAGGAGGCTGCAACTGAAACTCGCACAAAGGCAATCAAGTGTCACTTCATCAGCCTACAGTAACAGCCCATCTGTAATCAAGATATGGATGAAGTGGCATAGAAGAACAACCAATTCAAACAAGAAAAGATTGTATTTTGTTTTGGACTATTTTTCAGCATAACAGAACACTACACTTGCTGCTTTTTATGTTTGCCCTGTGTGCAGTTTTGAATAAGTTAACTATGAAATGCTTTTGCCCACTATTCTCTTTAGATAACCTTCCTTTGTAATGCATTTTGAGCTTACATGCATGATGTAGGCATATTTCCCTTGGCTTCATAAAACTACTTGCAAGCTTTTGTTATGGACATTGGTGCTAATATGATGTTTCAAATGTGTCCAGTAGTTGGTGAAGGGAGAAGAGAAGTAGGACAGCTGATAGCTATTACCAAAAATATGTGCTTGTCTGCACTTCGGGCTGTTCCATCATATGCAACCTCTTTTTACCTCCTTGAGTTAAAAACACCTCATCTTTTGTTTCTTTCCTCATTCCTGTGTGCCAATTGTTTCCGTGGTGCTATAAATGTCAAGTTTGAAGTTGGTATCTAAGTGAGCAGAATGTGCATTATTTCAGTCCGTCTTGAATCATTCGTCTTGAATTATATCCCTAACTGACATCCTGTTATTTGTCCTGCAATGTATGTGCCTCCTGTGTCCGCCCTTACCTCCGGCTTTAGCCTCAAACCAGCCCTGCTGAGCTCTGTCGCCGGCGCGGTGTGTCGCAACGTGCTGTTTCTCCGACAGCTACTAGGAATCGTCCTGTGCCATGCGCCATGCGACACAGCAATTGTAAGCTTCAGGTCACATTCGGACTGATTGGCTCCGCGTATGTGCATCCGGCCGGGTGCTAGTCGATATCAGGGACGTGGGTCGGACTGTTGTGGCGGCGTGCACTGTGGTGGTTGAAGTTGTTGTATTTCTGTCAGTGAAAAGCATTAATACATAACCGTGGAAACAGCCCAATGTTATTGTGAATTTCAGAGGGAGTGGCCAGTCAGGAGGGCCCCATGTGGGTATGGATCCAGTGTCCAGTGGGATTGGCTAAGATTTCCGGCGATTGATAAACGCTTCTATGAAAGTAACCCTATTGAGTTATGAGGGGAGGTCACGTGACGGACCTGACCTTACTAAACTCTTGTGAAAACACGACACATACGAACGATAAGAAACCGACATCTCTTCTTTCTGCCAAGTGTCATCTTTGTGTGAAGGATTTCTTGGCACTGAGTGTTCAGAAATAGCATTGTTTTTGGACTGTGCAGAGGCTCACGAGCGACAACATAGGTCAACAACCTGACGTACCTTAAATATGCGACCTGTACCAGAAGATCCAGCTTGATCAAAAGATTGGACGAGTCAAATTTCAACTCTTAAGCTTAAAAGAATTTTGAGCTATCTTAAAAACCGTCAGTGTGGCACCATATCGCCTCCCCGCGCGGTCGGAAGGAAAAAGTTCGCCGGCTCTAACTAAACAAATACGCGTCGCATCGCAAATTCATTGACGGCGTTCGAAGCGTCGTTCAATTTACTTTCGAAACATATCCTAACATTAACATTTAACTGCCTAGCGCAATCTCCAACAAGCAAAAGTTCCGTGCACTCATCCTCATACAGTGTTAGCGGCCGCCGGCCGCCGGCCGCTGACCCACATTCGCGTCATCAGGGAATGCTGCAACTAATTTATTGTTTCCAACTTTTTTCCCGGAACGTTCTACCTGGTTTATATAGCCTTGGTGGATACATACTCACCCCATTTATGATACATTTATGAGCTCAATTGATGTACATACACAGTACACCATACAGAGAGATGTTAGTGAGGCATATGCCATAGTATGTGCAACTGAGAAAGGCAAAACTGGGTACTTCCATCTCACAGTGCAGGGCATGAGAAATGTTTCAGGATGCCAAACAGGAGGCTTTCACGAAGGTTGTGGTGAGGACACAAACTGGGAAGCAATTGAGCAACCCGAGTGGTGTAGCACACAGATAGAGGTCACTGATCTACGAAGCAGAATGAACAAAAAAGTTCAAGTCGATGCACAGGAGGGACCTCAGCAGAATGAAGATGCTGGTCTGGAGGCAGGAAGAGCCTGCAGCAAGAACAACTCAAAGAAAAGGAGACCTGAAGAAAATGTGAACAAGGATAGCATGCGTGAAGTGGGAAAGCATAAAGAGGAGAACAGGAGGCAACAGGCAGCATTAAGCAATGCAATGCAGCAAAGTGAAGACAAGAGGGAGAAAGGAGAAGGAGGCAACACAGAGAAACTGAGACCAAGCACGTCGCAGGGCTGTGAAAGAAGCCAAGGAGTACAAAACTTGGTGATTGATGAAGAGCTGCAGGAAGAAGGTCGAAGCCAAGAACAAATATCGGTTGGAAGAAACCATGAAAGTAGGGTTGAAGAGATGGCCCAGCAGCACGGGGGACGGGAGCAAGAGGGGGATGAGGCAGAAAAAAGAAGCGAGGCATGCCAGCAGGAAACAGTCAGATATACCCATTTAGTACAGGATGAAGGAATGCTCTGTCAAGAAAGTGAAAAGCATGAGGGAGAAACTAGCAACAGAGAGGAAAATAGCAGAAATGAGAGAGAAAATGTTAATGTGACTGTACCAGGAAAAGGTGGACAGAAAGACCCTACAGGTAAACCGAAAGGCCTCAGAAAGGCTAGGCTAACTAACGGCGTACTAAAAAGTCCCAGAATTGGGTTAGCAGCACAAATACAGCAGCTCAAAGCGGAAAATCAAAAACTGAGAGTACAGCTGCATCAACTGGAACAGGGAAAAGAAGTGCAAAAGAATGCTGACCAAGTGGATGGTGGAAAAGTTCTAGGTGAAGGATTATGTGGAGCGTGTGCAGCATACCTGCTATGGCTACATAGACAAGAAGAAGAAAAGTGTGGAACTCTGCAAAACCAAAGCATGGATGCGGCAAATCAGCTGAGAAATGTGAGTAAACAAGGGAAGGAAAACAGCACACCAACGGCAAATCAACGCTACAGGCAGGGACAAGAACAAGGCATGTCGGGAAACACATACCAACAAGAAGAAACAGAGAATGAAATTGTTGTGGTAAGCAGTGATAATGAAGACACACAGAAAGTGCGGGAATCAAGTAACTCCAAAAGAAACCAGGAGTTGACAAAGGACAAAACTGTACAATGCGACCTGAACTCACAGAGCACAGGAAAGTCTAGATCGAAAGTGGGAAATGAGAATGAAGGATGGGGAGAGAGAGAACAGCAAAGAAAGGAAATGAACTGCCGCAAAGGTGGCATAGAGAAAAGAGGAGAGGACAACAAACAGGAAAATCATGAGGATAACACGATACATGGAAGAAATCCTCTGATGAGCAACAACGCAGAGCAAGGAAGAAACAATGGTGCTACAGGGCATGAAAGAGGACAAGGTGGAAGACACCCACGATACTATAGAACTAGAGTGTTCGTCAATCAGCGGTATAGAAATAGGGACGAATACAGGGAATACGAAGAAAGAGAATGGGAGCCTGTGCATCACTTTTCAGGAGAAGACAACATGCGCAGGTTGAATGGAAATAGTAGAAAAAACTACTACAGGACAGACAGGTACAGGGAAGGAGTGTATAAACAAGAACAACGCGAAGGAGGTAAGGGAGCCAGAGCGTTTGGAAAGCAGGACCTTAATGCAGACGGACATGACAAAAGAAACGGAAACCGCGTCCAAGTAGAACCACCCTATTACGGTAGGCGCTTCGATGGACACCCAGGTCAGAGAAAGTGGGGCAGACATGAGCATCATGAACCCCAAGACTGGCAGCTGAGAGGACAAAGACAGATGAACTGGAATGGCAACAAGGGGTGCAATCAATCACATGAGCGAGAGACTGGGAATGAAAACCAAGAATGTTCCAGGGACTATATGGAAGACGAACGTAACTATGGGACCACTGAGGAATGGAATGAAGAGGGTGGTGCATCCGGAAATCAGCAGCAGAGGAGGCAGTACCAACAAGAAAAGTGGCACAGTCGAGAAGAGCAGAGCTGGAACTATCCGGAAAGTCGACGGGTCCGGAGAGAGCATGGGAATTTTCACCGGCAAGGGGCGAGTGGAAACCCAGATCAGTGCCCAGGTTGGAGAGGGAAAAGCTATGCCGAAGCCCTGCTGGAAGAGCGCAGGGTCTTATGGCACTAACAAGAGAAGGAGACACTGGGAGAAATTAAAACTCGTTCAGTATAACTGTAGAGGATACCAGAAGAGTGAGTTTATGCAAAGCATATTAGATGAAGCAGATATTCTGTTGCTCAATGAAACATGGACTTCAAAGGCAAATCAAAGTGAAACCCTACTGACCGAAACACATGATGTGATTGCAGTAAGCTATGATGAATATATAGACTATGCCGTCTTACAGAACAAAAGTGGTCGTGGGCACGGGGGTGTAGCGATTATGACGAGAAAGGAGCTAGGCATGATTGAAGTGGACCACCGTGGCAGCACTAGGATTCAGGCGGCAATTGTAAAAGGCATGGAGATTGACATCCTAGTCATTGCTGTATATTTGCCGACTGGCACACTTCAGAAGACAACCATTGAGTTTCAAGAGACAATAGATAAGGTGACAGGCATAATTGAGGAGTATGGTGAAGAGAAGATGATCATTGTTGGAGGTGATCTCAATGTGGACCTGACTAAAAACGTGCATCCAAACAAGAAGTATGTCGAAGCGATGCTAGCTGACTATGGATTAATGATTCCCTGCAACAACATAGAGGGCCATATCACATTTTACAAGAATGAAATTGAAGCAACATCACTGCTAGACTATTTTATGGTTGACAGAGGTCACTCAATGTATGTAACAGAGTATAAGATTCCAGAAAGAAGCGCTCTCAACACGTCAGACCATGAGCCGATATGTGTCTGTGTTGAAATGAAAAGGAGATGTAAACAGCAAAAAACAGAGGAGCAAAAAATTGACTGGGAGAAGGCACGAAGGAATGGCAGCATTGAAGCCTATCGGCGTTACCTATGGAAACATAGACAGACGCGAGTGGACATAGACAGTATCAACAAGACCATTATAGAAGCAGCGAGAATGCTACCAAAGAAAGGAAGAAGGAACAAGGCAAGTAAGTGGTGGAACAGCGCTCTCACGGAAATGAGACGAGAATGCTTAGCAGCTAAAGACAAATGGAAAGAATGTCCGGCGGAAGAAAAAGATATTGCGAAAGCGACATACAGAAGTAAAAAGCGGCAATATATCAATGCGCAAAGAATGTATAGGCTACGTGCCCGAAAGGAAGATGATGCTAAAAATGAGATAGAATGCCAAAAACTATCAAACAAGTACTATCAAAGAATACAAAAATGCGTACGAAGAAGCAAAGTACAACGACTGAAAGTTGAAGGAAAAGAAATCTACCAGCCCCTGGAGATTGCTGAGGCGTTCCTCCACCATTTTGTTAGAACAGCCATGCCAATAGAAGACCCGTGTTTCAACAGGAAATGGAAGGAACATGTCACGGCAGTGGTCAACTTAACATGTAACAAATACCAGGAAAAAGGACGAGACTTAGAAGACTGTAAGCCAATAACAGAAGCAGAAATATCCAACATTATTCGAAGACTGAAAAGAAGGAAAGCACCAGGAACAGATAATATTATGGCCGAGCATCTCATAGAGGCAGGAGACGCTCTTATTCAAGATATAGGAACCTGTCTCCAGGATATAATGAAAACAACAGAGATTCCAGAGAACTTCAAATGTGGGCTAGTCACTCCAATCTACAAAGGACACGGAGGTAACACTGAGCAAACAGACAGCTACAGGGATATATCTGTCCTGACTACTGCCTGCAAAATATTCGAAAAGGCTATAATTCACATATCCCCCACTCTTCAAACCATTCCTGTCATCAAACTCTCGTAACCTTACCATTCACAAACTTCCTCCTTCCCTCCCTTCACAAACATCAATTTACCGGTAAGTTTCACTGTCATTTATGTGTCTTAACGTAAATTCATGGGTTTTTTCCCATATTCATGGCATAGTACATGGATATGGGTTTTCCCATGTTGTCTTGCTGTAAAAGTGGCCACCGGTCTTAGTTAGGACGGCCGGTTTGTTTTGCGCGGCGTAGTTAGGTCGCCGCCCTCCTCGCGAGGCCGGTAACGTAAGTTAGGGCCACTAAAAAAAAAAAAAAAAAAAAAAAAACAGACTAGGTGAGGAGCTCAAAGAAGCCGGAATACCGTCTGATTTACAATTCGCGTACCAAAGTGACAGGAGTACTTTGCAGGCAAACTTCATCCTTAGAGAAGTAATATCTGCAAATAGAGATATAGGCAAGACAGTATATGTCGCCTACTTGGATGTGCGGAAATGTTTCAATTCGATTTGGCACGATGGTCTCATCTATAAGCTAATCACCAGCAATGTTCACCCAAGACTGGTATTGATACTCTACAATCTTTACAAAGAGTTCAGAGTCAGAGTGAAGGTTGCAAATGAAAAGTCTGGGATGGGAAACATGCAACAAGGACTAAAGCAGGGTGGAGTGTTGTCCACTAGCCTGCTCTGTCTCTACATGCACGATAAGATACAAACTCTGCAGCAAGCACGTGTTGGAGCAAGAGTTGGAGATATACAAGTACCTATCATTGCATATGCAGATGATGAAGTTCTCATTAGTACAGATCCGACAGAGATGCAGTTAATGCTCGATGTTGCATACAGTCATAGCACGAAATGGAGATATCAGTACAATGCAAGTAAGAGCAAAATCATGGTATATGGGAAATGCGTAGATGGCAGAAGATGGTTACTAGGAAAAGAGCACATTGAAGTAACCACAGAATATACCCATCTGGGTGTCCATATGACCAACAAGGCTGAAGGAAGAAAGAGAATCGAAGAGGGTATGAAAAGGGCGAGAAGAGCGATGTTTGCAAGGTGCCCAGAAGGCCTTAACGTTGCCCGTACAAGCCCACTGTCTCTTTACACCACATGGAAAATATATGCTGAACCGATACTCCTGTACTCCATGCCAGTGACGATTTTCACAAATCAAGAAATTAACTACCTGGAGGTGATGGTGGTAAGACTTCTGAGGGCTATGCAAGGATTACCCAGAAGAACCCAGAACTTAGCTGTGTACATGATGCTTGGAGCGTTACCCCCTAAGGTGATGATAATGAAAGCAGCTATGCAATTCATTCAGTTTCTCGCTAAAGCAGCGCGGGAGCATGCACTGACGGAATACATGATACTGCACGGTGCTCTCAACAAGGACAGGAGCTCGAGCATACTAAGGCAATGGGAACATTACTTTACCGCATTGAAGCTACCAGGCATAATACAAATGATGACAACAAATGGAGTACAGGGTAAGAGCTGGTATAAAGTTTGCAAACAAGCCATCAACGCGTATACTAAAGCAATGATTATAGAAGAAGCTAGCAAGAGACAAACTATACAGTGGATCGCCGATATTGCACAAAATATGGAAGAATACGAGCCAGCGAATCAATTCTGGCCGAAAAACAGACTAAGTGTTATTGGCAGACAAGCGACAGGCACGAGGATACGACTTCTAACGGAGCAGTCGCTTCTTGCCACAGGAGTCTTAAGAAGGCACGCTGAGCGAAATGAGATCTGTCCATTATGCATGAAAGCAACAGAAACTCTTGAACACTTTCTTTATGAGTGTGTGGAACTGCGGCAAGAACGTGAGGAAGGACAGAGGAGGTGGAATGCGAGGTTAAATAGGACTCTACCTGCGAAGCTGACTGTCCGCAATGCTGACTCAGAAGAGGCCTTGTTGATCAATTACCTATACAAGACAAGGATACAAAAGGAACTGCAGTCTGCAGGTCGACAGCAGTTGAAACGAGCAGGACAAGAAAAGAATCCTGTCCTCATCCTCCCAGTCTCTCCTTGCCCGGTGCCACCACTAGCGTCTTGCACAGTACCTAACGTAAAGGCTGAGATAAGGAACAGCAGAGGGTCATCAGGGAGGACAACCTGATGGTGCACCCGATGGGTGGAACCGACGACTGAGAAGAAGAAGATAAGTATATGCTCATAAATCACACAAAAAAACATGTAAAACCATCAAAAACGCCAAAGTTGCATATAATCAAGCAAAAATTACAAAATCTCAAGCCAAATAATTGTACCATCACAATCATATTGGACGACGGTGAAAACAGGGCGCCTTGGGCGATTTGACCAAGGTTGGTGAAATTTACACGTGACGTTTAGCATGTAGAAGACCCACGAAGGGGGAGCACTTCCAAATGTCACGTGACTAATATGCCCTCCGGCGCCCTGTTTTCACCGGCGTCCCCTGTGACCTAGGGAAGTTTTCAATTGGAGTAGCGATATATCTTTATTTTCATTGAAGTTTTTTATATTTATAGAAATATTTCCAATCTTTCCAATATATGTCACAAGAAAGAAATCCATTGAGGTGAAAACCTGATACAAGGTAAGTGTTTCATTATCTGTTATTCAGAGCGGGAATATGATGGACGCCGGTGAAAACAGGGCGCCGGAGGGCATATTAGTCACGTGACATTTGGAAGTGCTCCCCCTTCGTGGGTCTTCTACATGCTAAACGTCACGTGTAAATTTCACCAACCTTGGTCAAATCGCCCAAGGCGCCCTGTTTTCACCGTCGTCCGTCACAGGCACAGCTCAAGGCCTCACAGCTGGAAGGAAATACATTTCCGGCATAAAACTCATATTATGCTATTCATTATCATTACACTAAGCCCATACGAGCAGAACGTTTCCATGGCAATTTGCTACCGCATGGGCTGAGCTGCGTCGATAATTTTTTGCGTGAGCAGAACTTACAGATTACGAACAGTTTTGAGAGGCCTCATATTTGCCCACACCACGTCGCTACTGTCGCTACGAAATGCTACCATATAGCTACCAACTACCAAACCCTTTAATTGTATATGAAGTTCACTTCATTTGCGATTCAGCCATGCCAGCCATGGACCCTGACTATTTGTAAAGTAATCTTGGATCCACCGACATGCCTCGCCACAGAGATTCAACCACTAGGCCCTATAAGCTACATACATTCAACGATCATACGATGCATGCTGCAGGCTTATTGCTTGATGCTTGCTTACCGCGATGTTTATCGGCACAGTTCATCAAGCATCTAGTCTGGTCTCGCACTTTTGAATCGTACCTGCCACGTATGGCACTCATCGATTTTTCTTTTTGCAAACAGTTCCATAAAAACGCAGAGTCGTTGAGTACCAAATCACGATTGTCACACCATAGGATCCGAGCAATATTCGGCCTCGTTCAGAGTGTCGCTAGCCGTATGTTTGTCGAGATTCGTGAACGAATGTGCGACTAGAAGAACTTAACAAAGCAATCGGGTAGGGGATCGCATCCATCTCTATGTTCAATCTACCACAATTTCCGAAAAGTTGCTCGCGATATTTTGAAAGGGTGGGAACTTGTGGGCTATTTCTGAACGATTTCAGCACACTTGTGATCACTATCACCATATTTGTCAATTGTCATCGCATGGCCATTGGCCAGACCAAGTTAAGTAGAGCGGAAATTGGCGACTCTGGACTGAGGGAGCGCTTACTTGTGATCACAGAGCAAAAGAAAGCGCCTATCTCCTACCTACAAGCAAGTTTTGGCATTGTTCTATTGTCAAGTTAAAAACCAGACATTGCAAAACAAGACTTTGCAAAAAGACTTTACAAGGACTTTACATCCAAAAAAGTTGGTACCGGTATCAAATAACAATGTATTCAGCATGTTACACAGCATACATGATCAGCATGACGCACCCTCTCCCATCTGTCGGCCCGCCCGCGTGCTGCCGACACGGCTACAGCTTCATTCTGGCCACCTCCACCGAGGTGGCCTTCTTGCGCTTCTTCTTGGCCGGCGGCGCGCCGGTCACCTGGGCCGTCACCTGGTCCTGCAGCTGACTGAAGAAGGCCGACGACGACTTCAGAGCCTTCTTGCCCACCTTCTCGTCAGCCTGCGGACCAACGAATAATGAAATCAATAACAGTGATCACTGACTAGCGCAACGAACGGCTACAAATGACTAGCCAAGTATAGGCTGATAGATAAGGAGCGTGTCATGAACAGGAGAGTGGATTACAAAGGTGCCCTGTGGTAATGTGAAATAAACCTCAAAACGAGAAGCATCGAATTAACTGCACATCCAACGACAAGATGCCTTTGACAAAGCGAACGTCACAAAAATCTGTTTTAACCTATATCGAAGCAAAAACACATGAATTCCCAGTTCTAAACTTCTGAAAACTCGTAGCTTACTTGTAAGATCCGACAAAGGATGAACATAAAACGCAAATTGGGATGCCTTACAACCATAATGGACTATGACCATTCTTGACAACCGACAGATCCAGGATGAGCACATTCAGCCACGCTGGCAGGGCGCAATGTCATGGTGCGCTACTGCAATTCTTTGAACGGTTTCACCTGACATAAGCACGACAGATGCCTATCACCAATGGGAATAGACATCTGCTGAAAACTCCAAGTCAGCGGTCTACCTGGGCAGACGAATTTTCGCATAGTCATACATTCGAGAGGAAAATATTACACATTCAAAAAAAAAAGCACCGATAAACACCGAACATAGAGTACAAACAGGAGGAAACCACTTTGAAACTGAACTAGGCAAGGCTTCGTGCAGGCCGGCTTCGGAACACGGAAAGAATGCTGCCGTGCAAAGGCAAAAACTACTATGTGGGTCAGACTCTGAAGTCTGACCTCACAAAGTGTCTTCTTCTTCTTCTTCTTCTTCTTCTTTTTTTTTGTCTTTGGCTCGCACGGCAGAATGACTGGGCTTTCGGAAATGAACTGTATCTCTAGTCCCATTCTCCAATTCATAGCGGTACGCCACACCAGTCGGTGGTACGCTTCCAGTTAATTACATCGGTCTACCCCTTATACCTGGTTAGCGCTGATAGATTGTTTCCTTCTCCGCAACTGTACTCGGGGTATTATCTACTTCTGCTGCACTCAAACACAGGGCGGCTCCCCCAGTCAGGGGTACCGCTCCCGGCACTCAGCCCGTCCCACTCACCCGTATGACGTTGCCGCGCTTCTCGGCGCGCGCCAGCTGCGCCTCCGCCAGCCGTTTGGCGTCGCCGGCCGAGCGGCGCTGCGCCGGCTGAGTCGCCTGCTGGCGCTCCTTCTCCTCGCGGCCGCGCGCCTGCGCCGCCTGGCGCCGCTTCTTGCCGCGCCGCTCGCGCTTCTTGTCCGTGTCGGTGCGCTCCTCCTTGGCCAGCAGCTGGGAGCGACGCTTGTCTGCGGGCGGGGGGGGGGAAGACGGTCTGTCAGGGGGGGGGGCACAGCAGCTGACACGGTGCGTAATACTCGCTCAGATAAAACACATGCAGCGGTGGGGTAACACTTGTTCGCCTATCGCTGCACTGGGACGCAAGTCATTCAAGGGTCGAAAAGAAATACTATTATCGCGCTGCACCCTGAAGTCTGATTCATAGTTTCATCGAGGTCAATGGATTATGACTGAGGGGCCTTCTCCTTCGATGAGGATGCTTATTGGTTACGAGCTTTGGCGCCCAGACGGAAAAGGTCATCACAAGCTGCATCACAAGACTTCCATCTGCACATCCGTTATCAGTAAGGTGGGTTCCGACGGGTCGGCGCCCGTCAGTCAAATGGTAAAAACAGGGAAGTCGCTCACCCTTGATCTCCTCTGGAGCGAGCAGAGTGGCGTTGGAGGCGCCCAGCGGAGTCACCTCTTCCATGGCTATCGACGGCAGTTTGCTGATGATTCGCACCTCGGCCGACGACTGTCGAAGGGAGGACGTCGTCAGCGCACGGTCACACACTCAAACACTCGGCCGGATGCAAAGGGCAGAGGAAACAAGCGCTGGTGATGCTTGATGGCAATAAAGAACATTAAGTGTTTTCTCTTCCCGATGCATAGCTCCATTTTAGAGAAATTTCGACAAAAAACGCATGTTGAAATAAACCGAATTTTTAAAACAAATCCCGAAATCTACGACAGCAGCTGAGCCGTACACCTCCAGTCGTTGCCAGCAGGGAACTCGCTGGTGCGGCACTGGACGGCCAGTGATACCAGCCAGCCTGTGTGGCAGGGGATGGTCGGCAGTCTGACCTGTTTGGGGACGTAGTGGAAGTTGGTGAGCGTGTCCAGCTTCGCCGTGAGGTCGGCCATCAGCCGGCGGATCTCCTCGTGCTCCTTGGGCACGTCCTCGACCTCGTCGTGCGCCAGACCCAGGTCCACCTCGGGCTTCTTCTCGGCGTCGGCCTTCTGCTTCAGGTACTCCTGCGGCGGCGAGACGGTGTGCGGGGCGTCACCTATCGCGAACTCGATCGGTCTGATGGGTGTGCCCATTTCAACACCCCGGTCTCAACAAATGGCTTATGCTAGATGAATTTCCTAGATAAATGAAGTCAGTAGGACAGTAAGGAATCTCGACTTAAAAAATGTTATGCGGCAAAGACGCGGATGAAATGCCAGCTGCTGAAATGAAATGCCTGCAACAAACATGCCTATTGAAGCCCCATCCCCAACACCCAACAAACTTTACGTTCACCAGATATTTAACGCTTGTTTATTTTTAATGCAAAATAAAGGTAGCTAGAAAAAGGTTGGTAGAACGAAAACAATGGATGAGTTACATCGAGTTTGTAAAACGGACATCGGTTTCTATGCGATTATCTAAAGAAGTGTAAAATCATAGCGGCTCAGATTACAAAAGACGATCCATGCATACGTCATCTACCGACTCCCTGAGATTGGCAATACCCTGAAGCAGTGAGTTGCCGATTTCCCTTTGTCCGTACCTGTTCGTAGATCTGCGCCAGGCTGAGTTTGGACTTCTCCTGGTCGAGCAGCAGCTTCTTCTTGTACTGGTACGGGTCGGTGACGGGCTTCACTTTGCGCTCCACGTCATCCCAGGCCTTGTCCTTGATGCGCCGCAGGATGAGCCGCTCGATTTCGGCCGTCACCTGGGCGGTGGTGACGGGCGCGCGCCGTGTTTGCTCAAAGTCCACGTACTCCTCGAGCAGGGCGTTCTCGTGGCGGCCGGCGGCGGCCGTCTCTCCGCGCTGCTGCCAGCTCTTCTCGGCCAGGTTCTCCTCCTCAAGCTGCTCGATACGCGACCTAGCGAGCCGAGAGTCGGCATCACGGCCTGTCAAACTTGTTACATCGCTACCATCCATTCAGTTCGAGCTAGTTTATCATTATCGTTTGAAGCTGAAAAGACGTTTATAATAAACATAGCCTCAATGGATTAACAGGTGGTTGTAAGTCCACTAAACAGTACCTGGCCCATGGCCTGTTTGTCAATTAACCGCTACCAAAAATCGAACGTGCCAAAGCCAGATGGTATCAAAGCTACATTTAGCATAGCATGACCTCCCGCCAGTTGCCACTGCTGTGTTAATATAGCTACGTGGAACAAAACGCATGTATCTTTCCCAACCTGAATCAACTATCACCAAGTAATTGTACAGATGCCACTTACCTGAGCCTCTCTTGTCTGACTTCTAGACTCGATTTCAGCTCTGTCGACTTCTTTGTGCTTCCCAGAATGTCGGAAACGTCTTCCCCTTCACTATCCGAGGCCAGCAGATCTCTGTTGGACAAAAAAAGTTCAACAGCGCATACTCAGAATTGACTTTAAACCAAAAGACTGTATAGCACAAGAATCACAATGCAACACTGTAAACCAGAAGAATGTACTGGAATTTTTTTTTTAGTAATCTAAGACTCACATTATGTTATTTTTTACATCAAAGTAAAGCGATTTTCCATGTTCGTACTCACTTTTTGCCTTTATTTCCCTTTGCTGGGGCGTCGTCAGGTGGGTCGAAGAAGTCTGCGAACATGGCCATATCGTCGGCGCCGTCGTCGTCGCGCGGCCGGCGGGCGGCGCGCTCCTCGCCGGCCGTTTCGGTGAACAGGTCCAGGCCGCCCTGTTCGTCCTCATCGGGCCGGCGCAGCCGCTCCCGCTCGAACTGGCGGTCCTGCCTCTCCAGAAACTGCTCCAGCTCGCCCAGACGGAAGAACTGGTCGTCCACCACGGACCGGGCGGTGCGCGGCCGTTCGGGCAGCGCCTCGCCCTCGTCACCACTGGCCGCCGCCTCCTGGTCGCTCTCACCGTCACCTTCGCTGTCCCCCAAACTGTCCCCGTCCTCCGACTCTCCGTCTTCCCCACCATCCCCGTCCTCCACATCACTCCCATCACCGTCCCCGTCCTCCTCGCTCTCATCCATACCGTCCTCTCCGTCCTCACTGCCAGCGTCTACATCCGCCCCGTCTCGCTGCTGAGCGGGACTCGCCGCGTCTGTGGCATCTCCGACAGGCTGCACCGTCAGCGCCAGCTGCTCGCTGGCAGCCACCAGACGACTGACATCGCGTGACAGAGCTGGCCACTCGAGCTCGTTCAGCAACTCCAGCTCCTGGGAACACCAGACAGCCGCAGCGTCACCGACACAGCCCACCGAAACCCGCTGCCTTTGGAAGGGACAGCTTATGACAGAGTAATGAATGTGATTCTCAATAAAATCGATAAATTGTATGTTAGTTTGAATCCATATTAACCCGCGCCCCACTGGGGTCTGCGTATAACACGCCCTACTGGGGGGGGGGGGGGCTCTCCATAGCCCCCCCCTCTTAACTCCGAAACTACTGGGCCGAGCGTCAAAATTCAAACGGCGTCTGATAGCCCCGGAAAAACTGTCGAGCGAAACCTAATTTCATTTACCTCGAGGTCACCGATGACGTCACAGGTCAGGTCAAAGTAAAAATTATTAGCATTTTGGCTTGTTCACATTTTGGGCTCTGGCCGCCGTCTTACAAGTCAGATCAGGCTCATTTTTGGTTTCCACACTCGTGAACAGATGCTCTAGATACCTTGAGGGTACCAAACTTGTACTTTGATTTTCAGGTCAGGGTCAGGTCATCACAGGTCACGGAAATATTATATCATGCGTCGGTCACGTGACACATGTTTTATGGTCCATTTAGGCCATAAATTTCGAATCTGATATCGCCTGTGTCATTCGAGGTCATTTTGAGTCGAATTTAGCTTAGGTCAGGTCACTTTCAGGTCAAAAAAGGTCAAATTTTGAAGTTTAAATTTTCAACAAAAAAGGTGTCTATTGGAAGCAGTTTGAGCTCAGGAATACGGTGGTGCTATTTATATTGGTGTACGATGTCAAAAACGTACTGAAATTTGATTTGAAAAATTAATAATTGTGAATTTTTTGCAATAATGCGTATAGGTAACTTGGCCATTTTGGAAGATATTTAGCTAAAACTTGCAAGAGTTATAGTCATAAGCATGCGTTCTGTCACATTTATCCCGTTTTTTTTTCGAAAAGTCAAAAACTTTTTTGAAAAAAACATAAAAATATAAATTTTGAATATAATTACATCAAATTTTCGAAATTTTCAAAATTTTGAAAATCCGAGATAACAGTTTGATAGCGCAGTCAATTCTAAGTCCTTTCATGCAAAGAAATTGGATCTAGCTTAAAAACTGAGCTCTTGGGAGCGATTGCCGTGGTTCATTGTTTTGCGTCGAAATCGGCCGAAAATGACGTCACTCTGACGTAATTTCCGGCCGACCTATGGTAGCTACGAAGTTCAAATTTTGATACAAGGTGTCAAATTGATGCAGCCAAAGGTAATGAAAGTTTGGCGTCGATACGTCAAGTGGTTTGGAAGTTATTGCAGAAAAACGGGAGGGGGGCTATTAATAGCCCCCCCCCCCCCAGTGGGGCGCGAAACATGCACGCCATTGTACAATGCATCAATATGCAGTGCACAATAACTATTCAAGGGAAATTAGCCATAATCCTTACCTCTTTCATAAAATATATTTAAAGTTATCTTTCAGAAAAAGTAGGCCACTAAATACATACTGTTAACGCCAGACCCCTTGAGACCCTAATTTTTCGCGATAATTTTTTTAATGCGTGGATTAATTTCAACCATATTTAGGAAATAGCTGTTTCAAGACCTGCCGAAACTTTTTCTTCAAATACGTTTTGTTGTCACTTTAATATTTGTGGCACTTGTCATTGACTCGTAACGTTAACTGTTTTTCCATCCTGGATAGAGGCTTTCATACGTCATATGACATTAGGCTCCGCCCACGACTGCGGCACTGACCCATGCCCATCAGCGACCTCTGTACAAACGACACCCCTGCCATCTGTAAAGGACTATGAATTTCGCTGACGCTTCACGTGCTATGTATCAATTACAGCAGACGGTCAAGTAAATGTTAGGCTCTTGTTGACTTTCGTATATAGGACCAAGAGTACCATCACTCCTCAACCTACTACTCGCACATGCTTCGAACAAACGTTAAAGATTCCTAACAAACACGATTTTCGACGTAGGATATATGTTTGAAGAGCGAGCCTTATGATGTGAAGCGAAGGCAATTAACTAATTATTGCGTTGTTCGATGGTTGCATAGCGATGTACAAATCAGCAACTACTTGATGACATCCGACATCCCATTATCACATTATCTGCAACGCCATAGGCTTTATCAAATACACGTGAGTATTTCCTAACCTTATGTCAGGTATATGCCATCTGCCCTTCATTTGCAGCTTATGAAAAATAAAACAAATATCAGCGAACCTATCAGCATTGTACATTGTACAAGCAATACGCATTGAGCATTTATGGCTCCTCAGTCATCATGTCGCTCTTTGGGCACTGTCAGACAAGACGTTACGCACAACTCCGCCGGCTTTCGGCACCGCTCGACCGTCCCCGCTCCCCGCCACAGCGCGAGTGACCGCGCGCCGGCCCGAAACCGCCGCAGGCCAAGACCATAGAGGCGGGGCTTAGCTGTGACGTCATAACGTATCACAGACTGACTGGTGATAGCCTCTACACACCGGGTGAAAATCTTGCTCGAAATTTAACATTACGAGTCAATGAGAAGTGCCTGAAATATTGAAATGGCCACAAAATATTTAAATTGTAAAAATTTCGGCAGGTCTTGAAACGGCCATGTCCTGAGTTTGGTTGAAATTCTTCCACGCATTTAAAAATAATCGCGAAAAATTAGGGTCTCAAGGGGTCTGGCGTTAACAGTAGGTCTACATAACTGTCTGGCATGATATTCAATGTTTGCATCAGGACAACTTTAATGTAAATGTGATGTACTACATCAATTAAGGTCGATGCTTGCTTAATAGGTCCATTGTCTATCACATACCTGCCATATTTGTTCTTCATCAAAACCATCAATAATTAGTTCCTGGATTGGCAATTCAGCTTTGTTTTTCAAAGAATCTGCTGCGATGTCATACAGGCCCTTCGTAACCTTCTTGAATTCCTCCACAGCAGCAGCATCTGGTCTGAAATCAGGCAGGTGGCAGCGTCAGCCTTGACGACTTTTAACTTCAAAGATGACTGTGCTGGAACGAATCGCGCTTTCAGCAGAGATTATCATAAAAAGAAACACTTCACACACCACACATCTATTAGGTATCTCATGACTCATAAATAAATGAGCAATTGTTCCTACTTCCTAGAACCATTACATATTGACTCGTCACCCTATTCTCTTCCTAAAACACAAACAAACAAACAAACAAACAAACAAACAAACAAACAAACAAACAAACAAACAAACAAACAACAAACAAATCCGGTACGCATTATTCCGTCCGGGTAACGAAATAAGTTCGCGTTAATCTACGTTAACACGTTACTACCTACTAATTTCGGGATTAGCATTGTACTCCGTTTAGCATGTATGTATTGTTAGTTCATCGATATAGGTATACATATTTATTCATACATGAATTCATATACAGATTTACAATGGCCATTCAACACTACGCTACTCAAGTTTTCTTTCCAATTCTTTAAATACCCCAGCATCGTACCAGTTTGTACCTGCCTACGTTCCCGACCTCTGAACGATAATGTGATTGACCCCAGCCTAACGTTCCTCTCCGACCATCTGCCCCTACAGCTGAGCTACACGGCTGGACAGGGTCCGGTCGAAGCCCGGTGCCATGCTGCTGGGGGCTGCTGCGGCCTGCGACGGATGGCGGCTGTTGCTTCCGCTCCCTGAGGAGATGCCGTCCTTGTGGCGCACAGGGCGGCTACCCACGGTTGCAGCCCGATGGCTTCATTCTCGGGACGCGGCCCGTTGGATGTGCGACGACCGGCACCTTGCGACCGCTGCGGTGACCGGCAGCGGTGCCCCCTCTCCTGACTTGACAACGGACTACATCTTCGTGCTGCCATGGGGTGGCGCCACTGGTGGGACGAGCGCCACTGGTGGAGCAGGCGCCATCTCTGAGGCGGTACAGCCGACCGGCTGGCTAACGGCGTCGAGCGCCTGATGAATGCTGCGCTGAGCGGCGATACTGAGTCGCCGCTCTCGAACTGTCGACGTCCCACTGAGCTTGTTGGACATGACTACGGGGCAGCCGACTAGACTACATCCTCGGCCGCGGCCCGTTGGATGTGCGATGACCGGCACCTTGCGACCGCTGCGGTGACCGGCAGCGGTGCCCCCTCTCCTGACTTTACAACGGGCTACATCTTCATGCTGCCATGGGGTGGCGCCACTGGTCGGACGAGCGCCACTGGTGGAGCAGGCGCCATCTCTGAGGCGGTACAGCCGACCGGCTGGCTAACGGCGTCGAGCGCCTGATGAATGCTGCGCTGAGCGGCGGTACTGAGTCGCCGCTCTTGAACTGTCGAAGTCCCAGTGAGCTTGTTGGACATGACTACGGGGCAGCCGACTAGACTTCATTCTCGGCCGCGGCCCGTTGGATGTATGATGACCGGCACCTTGCGACCGCTGCGGTGAGCGGCAGCGGTGCCCCCTCTCCTGACTTGACAACGGGCTACATCTTCATGCTGCCATGGGGTGGCGCCACTGGTGGGACGAGCGCCACTGGTGGAGCAGGCGCCACCTCTGTGGCGCTTCTGCCGACCTTGGACCGGCGGGATGACGGCGTCGAACGCCCGATGACTGTATGCTGGACGGCGATACTGAGTCGCCGCTCTCTGGGCACCATCCCCATCGACCAAGGCCCGGCTGGTGCTTGGCGCCGGGTGCCGGATGGCCGCTGCGCTCGGCGGCGGTGCCGGGACGCCGCTCTCTGGAATGACCGCTGACTCGTCTTTTTGATCTCGTCTTTGTGTTACCGTCTGGTTAGGCACTGTCAAACTCCCCAATATAACCTTTAACACTAACTGTCCGTATTCTAACAAAACTAACATGTGAATCCTTTCCGACCAATCCCGTTTGACAGTGCCATAAATTATGAATTGTTCAATGTGTGATCCCAAATTATAATCAATAAACGGAAACGGAAACGGAAACATGGGGTACATGGGGAAAACGGCAGTTTTACTCAATCAGGCAGTCAGCAATAAAATAAATCTTTTGTAGTGTCAACACCAGCTCATTCAATGAAACCTAAGCCTACTTACGCTAAGCTAACGAGACTAGTAAAACTACGAGACAGCGGATCACCGGCCAACTACAGCATTTTTTGTCGCCAGGTTCCGGCACGACCCCGAGCCCAGCTTCTGTTCTTCACTCAATTCAATGTCCACTAGGACACACAGAAGACTGTTACTCATTTAGTTGAAAAAAGAATGAGCATTCTCATTAACTATGCATGCATGATTAGCAGTTTTCAAGTTCATTTCAGGTTCAGCTTTCATGTACCTAAGTCCGAGTCAGCATAATGATAAATCAAAATTTCACCAAGTGCATTCAGTTCACACCATACTGAAAAAATACACGTTATGCCGAATATGTCCGTCGTAGTGGCGGGATTGCGCCGAAAATTTCAGCGCACGTCAGGCGTAACTTCGCATGCGCCGAATTCAGCGCATGGCGGCGAACAATTTTTTCGGCACAGGGCGGTAGAATAAGTTTTTGGCGAAAGACGGTCACCGAATTTATCCGGTACGCTGGTCAGTCTAGCAGCAGATTCGCCCTGCGGGCGGCTCTGGAGAAGTTTCGGAACGAGACGTCCCCGCCCCAGTCGTCGCGTGCTCGAACTTGCGAGCCGCCCTGAGCCTACTCAGCGGAGGAGCGGCCGCCCAGGTGAGGCCTCAGCCCTCGGCATAGAGATAGGTATGGAAGACCTTGTTGAACATCGCCAAGCGTCGTTCGCGGACGACCTAGAGAAACAGGCGGCCGCCCTGCCCTCAAACGCCCGCTGGCTGACCAGGGCGGTTTGTCGTGTGGCCTCCCATCAATGGCACAACAACTGGTCCGAGGCCCTATTCAAGCCACTCCTCGGGAACACGCGGTCACTCCCTATGCCCAGAGAGGATGCCGTTTTGGTGCACCAGATGAGAGCAGGCCACTGGTGGGGGCCGCTCGCTCCAATACGTGCACCGAACCGGCTGTCTCCACTCCGTGGCATGCCAGCGGTGCCCAAACAAGCGGTGCCCAGCGGCGGTCTCAGGTCTGCACCATGAGCCGAAAAGAGGCTGGTGTCCCGGAGAACGTGCTGCTCTACTGTGCGGCCCTCGCTGGCTCCCACCAGCCTCGAACACATCGCTCCGACAATTTTTGTGGCTCTGGAACTTACGGTTCTGGCTTTGTTTCACGGCATGACGCTTGAGTGCGCTAAGAGTATTGAGGCATTGGGTTTCCGTGGAAATAAAAAAACTCATTCGGACGTTCAAACATGGGAGAGCATACAAGGCACAGGAACACTCGATCTGGTTGATATAACCTTGATCTGATCAGTAAATGTGCACTTGTGTTTTATATAAAAATGGCTTAATTTTTGCACAAATACGTACCCAATTTTCGACACAAATCACGCAGAAATTTCAGTGCAAAATCGCTTTGCACCAAATTTCAGTGCAAGAGGATCCCATGGGCGTATGGTGTAGTGTGTGGATGTTTTCCAGTCTGGCACTCACACAGATACTCACCGAAGAAAATTTTCAGGTTTCTTGGTCAGATGTGAAAAATCTTTGAGCAGCTTCTCCATTTCCTGATTAAAATCCTTCCGAATCAAGGTTGAGGTGATTAATGTTTTAACTCATTACGAAGTAAGAAAACTGAAACAAGCATTCAATTCATTATCTTGTCTACTATCTTCGCTGTATCCAGGCTTTGTCACAATGGGAAATAATGCTGTTGTCTTTTTGGTATTTTGGCAAGCAAAATAATGGACTATGCGCGGTGCAATAAAGAGTGCCTATATCGATATATTGCAATCAAAGCCGTAGCAATTTGGGTAATTTGGACGCAATATACCAGTGCTGCCAGATGGGGAAGGCTGTAATCCTCCAGATCAGTTACAAAAATCCTCCAGATTCCTCCAAATCCTATTGGTATATATAGAAAGGCGGTCTTGGACGCTGCGAGGGGCTATACCCCCCAAAAAAGTTTCCCCAAATTCTCAAAACTCATCGGATTTCGAATCCTTTCGCACTGCTGTGTTTTCGTTTTATCCTCCAAAAAAAAAAACGAAAATTTTCGTCGATATCGGGTGCTGCAGGGCGGGCCGGGGGCATTTGCCCCAAACGTCCCCCTTAGATCCGCCAGTAGTTTGGTACCCTCGTAGATATAGCTACAGACTGAGACATTCTGCAGTCTCACGGTGATAAAGGACGTGATGTATCCTAACGGGTAGGGTGACGCTGGGCAGGAAAATGCCTTTTTAGTCTCGAATGTGTTATATTTTTCCATGATATTGAATATAATAATCGGGCGACAAATCCTCCAGATTTTCCTCCAGAATCAAAAATCCTCCAAAAGCGAAATTTGTCCGCAAATAGAGTTCAAAATCCTCCAGATTTGCGGAAATCCTCCAAATCTGGCAGCACTGCAATATACACACGTGCGTTTGGAGCCGATTGTGGTGCATACCCTGCGCACATAAGACATTTCGTTGCAGTGTAAAATATTGAAGAAAAATGACGCAATATAAGATTTTTAGGATTTAGGATTCCACAACACCACAAATTTTTCTTTTTTAGATAATTTTTATGATTTTTAAACTTGTAATTTTTTCCCAAATTAATTGAAGCATTATTTTTGAAGAAAAAAAAACTAATCTACGTCAACTGTGTAATCAATCACTTACGGTATTGTTAGTATTATTTACAGACCCTTGTCAGAACAATCGACGTTGCAGTTTGTTTCGCGATAGATGACTGATGGTTGGGTTATTTCAATTTCTGTTTATCAATAGATCATAGATATCTATAGGTATACCGTGATATTAGACATGTGACCCTCGAGCATTACAACGGTGATCTTATATTTTCATGTAACATGTGTTAGGTAGGTACAGTGAATGGTGAAATACCCTTTTGCACCCAGACCCAGAATTGAATAAAAACCACACCTTATATTGTCACACACGAATCACGATATATCCAACTAGTTAATTGTTCATTCAATCATTAAGGCTAAAAAAATTGGTAAATGTCAAGTTTAAGTCATAAGAAGACTTCATTGATAAATTTTTCATATTTTTACATTATTTGACATCCTGAATTCAACAATGATACTCATATGTCTTGCAAGTTGCAAGTAAAAGAAAAAAACAATCAAACCTGACCTAACCTTACCTAGTCTTACCTATAACCTACCAACCTACAAACCTACCCTAACCTAACCTAACCTACAAACCTACCTACCTACAACCTAAAACCTACAACCTAACCTAACCTAACCTAAAACCTAAAATTTTTGCTGTTTCATATTCGTATCAACAGCGCCACAATTGTAGTTAGGACCTAAACTTGACATATACCAAAAGATCAGGTCCAAAGGTTAAGTGAAATGCATGTCAGTATAGCATACAGGGCCACAGGCAGTAGCGGCGGAACACCTTCAATTAAGGGGGGCACTGCCAACTTTTGGTTCCATTCTTTCCATGCAACGCTAATAGGGTTAATGTTAAAATGCCTAAATCAAAGGGGGCACAGTGCCCTCCCCGTTCCGCCGCCTATGCATACAGGTTGCAAACCAATTGTTACTCAATGCTGTCTGATGAGAATGACATTCACATTAAGTTCAGGTATTGAAATTGCACATTTAAGTGGAAATACTGTTGAAAGTAATTTATTTCTGTGTGCCGCAGAAAGTAAGTCATGGACCAAACGCCGCTGTTCAGTGCCTGTTTGCGCGCTGTGCGCCTGCGCAACAAGGAGCTGGCGGCGGCGGCGGACGGCCGCGTGCTGCCGCGCCGCTCGGTCAGTGCGTTCCAGCGGCGCGCCGCCGACATCGTGGCGAGCGTGGCGCGTCTGGCGGCCTTCCTGCAGGAGCACCGCGCCGGCTACCTGCGCACGGGGCGCGCCGACGGCCAGCCGCTGTCCGACGCCGAGCGAGACGAGGTGGAGGCCGGCGCCGAGGCGATAATGCGCACCTGCGGCCAGCTGGTGCGCGACTTCCGCCGCGAGCTGCCGCCCGTCACCGCCGGCGACCAGGCGGCGCTGCACCGGCAGGCCGTGGCCGACAGCATGGAGGCCTATCTGAAACGGGTCTGCCGCCTGTACGCTGAAATGAAGGCCGTTCGCGTCAAACGCTCCGTCGACCGCCGCAACATGGACCAGATCGCCACGCCGGAGCCGCGCCGGGTACCGCCGCTGGCGCGGAATGCGCCGGAGCCGGCCCCGGTGGCGCGGGACCGGCCCGGCGGCGGTCCGGCGCCCTGGGAGCTGGAGCAGCCCAGCTCGCCGCTGCTGACCGGAGACGAGCTCTCCCCGGAGGACATTCAGATGCTGGAAGAGGAGAATGACCAGATGTTCAACGAGCTCAACAGCATGACGGAGGAGGTGCGCCGCGTTGAGAGCAAGGTGGTGAAGATCGCGCAGCTACAGGAGATTTTCACAGAGAAGGTGCTGGAACAAGATAAAGACATCGACCGCATTGGCGACACAGTGGTGGGCACGACGGAAAATATCAAGGAAGCCAACGAGCAACTCCGCAGCGCCATTAAAAAGAACGCAGGTACGCGCGTCTGGGTCATGTTTTTCCTTCTGGTGATATCGTTTTCGCTTCTTTTTCTGGATTGGTATAATGATTAATGGGAACCCTGATTGCTATGTATGCGATAGGTCGATGCACTGGGTTGGGATAACTTGATTCGATGATTAACGATTGTGATATGATAGAATATATATATTTTTGCTGATGTTTGTGGCGTTCATGGCGCGCTTTTCTTTGCTATGAAAAGACTGATGATTGTGATTGGTGGTGCAACTTGATTAACATCCAAACATGTTTCACGACGTTGGGTGAAGTTTGCCTTGGGGGCCCGTTTGCCGTATCATCCCATACTGGGGTATCCTCCGAAAATCATAAGAAATTACAATGGTTTGATACACATTTATGTATTGAGCGATGTCACTGATGATAATGCAAAGTGTGAGTCAATGGAAGGGGCGGGTCACTGTAACCCGAGCAGAGGCACGTTGTCAGCCTGCCAGCGGATTGGCGTGGATTGTGACGGACCGGATGCGCGTCTCGTTGGTCGGACGGTAGTTCTTCGGGTTGACGGTGAGCTTCTCAAGCTGGTCGAGTGCGTCCATGCCATCGATCACCCTGTCGAGAGGCGGCAGAGGCCGTCAGGTGACGTTGGACAATGGCGGCGCCGGCCGAAAAAAACGTACGTGAATAATGCGACAACTATACGAATACGAAAGCATGCTAACATGACTGAAAGAGGAACTCGGGAAAATGAGCAACTGTGCCCATTGATTGGTACATATTGCACAGGATATGGTTTCTACATGTCACTTAACAAGCAATCAGCACCCACACAGTGCGTGCTACGAGGATCCTATCCTTGAATAACGCATGAATGCATTTTGTCATAACAAATAATTGACACTTGGCAGGAATTGGATTCGAAATTAAATAACAATAGCATGTATTCAACACATCCCATCACACACATCCCATCACACACATCCCATGTTGTTGTTGAGGCAACACAAGCCCAACCCCAACAACAACAACGACAACAACAACAAAAACAACAACAAAAACGTTTATCACTATCCCAGAACCAGAACTAGACGTAAAAACATTAGCGAAAGCTTATCTTTAGAAACACAGGAAAACGCAGTCAGTCCGGTCATAAAGTACCTAAAGCGGACTCCTAAACGATATTGACACAGCCTCTTACTTTCCGAACACGGTGTATTTGAGGTCCAGGTGCGGCTGAGGAGCGTACGTAATGAAGAATTGACTGCCGTTGGTGTTCGGTCCGTTGTTGGCCATCGATACCATCCCGCGGACCTTGTGCTGCCGGAGGAGCCGATCGTTAGCCATCAGTATCGTCCCGCGGACTTTGTGCCGTAAAAGCCGCCGATCGCGACGAAACTTTTAGTACCCTCGAGTTGATCAATTCTGCATTTACTCTGAAAATCTCATGACCCTAACCCCGCTGATCTTTGACCTGTTTCTTGAAACCATATTGTCAAGCCGGTATAGCGATTCGGCGAATGTCAGCGCACGTCATCCGCGCGCTACCAGTCTTCTTTGTAGTTGTTAACCCGCGCACCGACGGGGGGGGGGCGGTTATCGCCTGAGGTGCCGCGAAATTGGGTATGACTATTCTCTCATCAATTTTACACATGAAGTGCAAGTTTAAACCTCTTAACTTTTAAGGTCAGGTCACTTTGAATGACCCAACCTCAAGTCACTTTTTTGCAACTTTGTCACCGTGTCAGAGCTACAGTAGATGACGGAGTCCTTTTAAAGTCGGAGGATGTTATTAGGTCGTTAGTGGCTACAATTTGTATATCTCTGAATTTTGATATCGATGACCTAAGGTCAGGTCAATTTCTCGACCTCCCCATTTTAAGTCAATGGGGGAAAAATCAACTCCCTGTTTTTTCCACTAAAACGCTTCAAAATGGCCCCATATACCATACATGACTTCATATACGACCAACCTTCACTACCTTGAGGCCTGTTTTGCTGTTGGGCAGCTGTAAGGTCATGTGACGTCATCAAAGGTCACCAAAGTTTTTTTTTGCCAATAACTCCTTACAGGAACAAGATACAGCCGTGCGGATGGTCTCATTGTGTTCAGCTCGTCAAGGCGCATCGAATGATATACATGACCTCGAGGTCACGTGACCTTAGGTCAACCTTTGACCTTGACCTTTCGAGGTCAACATATATATGGTTCGATGCGGATTGGCGAGAGGATCACGATGGTGCCCTTAGTTTGTTCCTAGCTTGACCAATTCGAAAGTTATTTGAGAAAAACTCCATATCTAGCGCCGCCATTTTGACTTTTTTGACCCCTGTGACGTCATCTTTGACCTGACCTGTGACCTTGGTAAAAATTGTAGACCTTGTCCGTGCGTATCCCATGCCGTTTACCGCTTGTCGCTAACTTGCTGCGTTCTCGAGATCTCAGGGGGGGGGGGCGGTCATCCGCCCCCTCGTCGGTTCTAAATTGGCGCAGACCCCCGTCGGTGCGTGGGTTAATGTTCCAACTAGAGGTGGCAAATGTGGACCCGAGGACCCGGTCCAAAGAACCAGTCTGGACCCATATGGGTCCAGACCGGTTCCTGGAAATTTTCGGACGGGAAATTTTCGGACATCTTGCACACTACACATTATTGCAAAGTATGAAGTGAAAAGGGAAGGTTTCTTTGCACACCAGGCGCGGATACAAGGGGGGGGCCATGGGGGCCATGGCCCCCCCCCCCTTGGCCGATTTTTTTTCAAAAATAAAATAAAAAGTTAAAAAGTTAAAAAGCTGAAAAGGGGGCCTCCTGAAAATAAAGTGGCCGAAATCCGATGAGTTTTTTTTTAACCTACCCACTTAGTTATTTCTTAGAAGACTAGCTGAGAAGACTTCTTTGTTAGAAGATTGGTAAAGCTTTTCATAACTTCGAGGTCTCTTATACTCACAGAGATGACCACTTTTACAGGGCCTCCTAACCTGCACAGAGGGCCTCCAAGCCTGCACAGATGTTGAGATGTTGCCTGAACAGCTAGATAAGCTCAATAGACGCAGTTTTTTTTTTGGGGGGCCCAACAAGTGGGAAGATGGGGCCTCCAACAGGTGGGATTATGGGGGGGGGCCTCCTGGTTTCTAATGGCCCCTCCCTTGGAGATTTTCTGGATCCGCCCCTGTTGCACACAGTAGCTCATGAGTATTCCCAGTGGGAAAAAAGGCTGTTTCATGATGCAACTAATGATACCTACAAGTATTTGTATTAATTGACTTGGGGAACGGGTCCAACTGGTTCCGATTCCAACTTAGACCGGGTCCGACTGGTTCCAGAAATGTAGCCCGCATGACGCATACAGGTTGACCTGACCGCTGACATGACCAGATCCGACCCGGCCTACTCCAAATGCGTGAATACATCATCTTTGATCAAAACTAACATGAAATTTGTGATCAGCACCCCGAAAAAAACTTAGCAATCTTATTTTACGAAGCTTTAGCAGGTCTCGAGTTTCCTGACTTTTGGGTCATTGATCTAACCTCGAAGGTCAACCAATGGCCCAGGACCTTAACATTGGGTATCATTGGCTTTCTCTCATCAGGGGCAACGTTATCGTTTAATATCCGCGAAGCTCTAGCTCGGTCAGGGGCCAAACGGCTCATCCGCTCCATCCAAACGGCAAACGTATCACCCTACACGTAAGATGCTGTAAAAAGGTCAATATGGGCGAGGGTTAAGTGCCTGAATGATTTTAGATAGTATATCAGGATGTCCCAAAATTTTAGAATTATTTCAATGGTCCTTTCCTCAAATTATATGTTTAAAAATCGAAAGTGGTGTATATTATTGCCTATTGGAAATTACTGGAGATATTGGTAAATTACTGTAACGGCTACATCGCTTCTGACTTCTTAACATTCTTTAATACGAGGAAAAGGTCATTTACAGTTAGTCTACAATTCTAGTCAGTTGAACAATACGTCACTTTCGCCTTCTAAACATTTCTTTATTCGAGGAACAGGTGATCAACAATCATTCATATCATAACACTTTCTCGTGAGAGGGCTCAACAACATATCTTCAATGTTCCAGCTTATGTGATATATACTTTCCAGTCTCCACACTTACTTTGATACTGTCAGTGATTTCATCTTCAAATTTCCTATTCCATATTGAGGTTCCACCTTTACCCGTCCCAGTTGGGTCACCAGTTTGAACCATGAAACCTTTGATGTTGCGGTGGAACAGGCTGTCATTGTAGTAATCACTCGCGCAAAGTGCCAGGAAGTTCTGAAATCAGACACCAATCAAAATTGCTCAAAAACACAAAGCAATGGTGTGGTTTACACACCTGGAACATTAATGAATCAAAACATCACCATTGAGCATTCAGCATTAGTCAAGGATGTGAATGCAGAGGAAGGCAACCATTATTGTTCATATACATACATACCTACAGTGAAAATTATTTGTAAAAACGTGCAAAGCTGGTTGGAGACATTAGAAAACACATTTTCCCAGCATGTAGGCACAAGCAGCTTGTTTTTACATGATGGTGCATGGTCACCTGCATGTATAAGTTGACTTACCTCGCATGTCTTTGGGCATTGATCACAGAAGACCTCAATCTTTATGTCACCAACATCTGTATGTAGTGTAACTGCCTGAAAAAAATGAGGGTATAAATATGAGCTGAAAGTGCCTCTGCATTCATATCAACCAGAGGCAGAAAGGTAACTGTCTAAGTTGACATTTCACACAAAGGCCTTCTCCTTATTAAAAGCATGTCAAAACAAATATAGGTACCTATTACAATTAACTAGGTACAACATTTTTAGCTCCCATCTCCTTTAGTTATCTGACATACACACACTTGCACTATGTAAAGTAATGCTTGTGAACATATCATCATACTTACCATAGCATTACACAGTTAAAAAACAATGGCTGGATCAGACGATCAAGATGACTGAGAACAGCAACAATAACCTCACGTTCAGAGTCTCTTGGACGACGAAGATTCTATGTCATCTGGCCAGTCCCATTCAAGGTCAGCGGGGGCTTGGCTGCGGTTCTAGAATGGGATTAGCCGGATGACATAGAATCTTTGCCGTCCAAGAGACCCAGATCACGGGGTAAATTTAGAGAACCAGCTCAGGTTATGCAATATCAAGCATCATGCCTGAATATTGATGCAGGGGTTGCACTGCAGCCACAGCCTTTGTCAGCTGCATGGTCGTACTAGATGACCATCAGACATTAACCCTATTACTGGTGGCCTCTCTGGACTACGTTACCTGGTGGAGGGGGCCGATTCGGCCCCCCTGGATATCTCGAAAACTAAATGTCCGATCATAATGGGACAAACGCCATTCGATTGCTCTCATCGTGAACTATTAGATTGACTTTAGAAGTAAAAAAAAGTTCAAAATTGTGCGTCCTGGAAGCAAACACTTTCGAAAAAATCGCGTTTTACACCTCATCACTAAAATTGTTATAATAGCTTCTTTCTTTTTTGACCGATTTTGATGAAACTTCAGGAAACTCTTCTTCATGAACTGCGCCTTCATATATATTCCGTTTTTTCGATATTTCAAAAATCATAGGCGTATTCAGGTAGCTAACTTGGGATGATGTTTTGAGTTTTTGTCATGGCATATCATGTGTCTTATGACATGATGTGTCATTAGCATATATCATGTAGAATATGCAATGTAAGCACAAAATACACGTTTTCGTTTAGCATAGGCAGATTCAGGCATGCTAAGATGGGGGTACATTGATATTACCCCCCTTTCTCAGGTACCTGGATCCGCCTATTCCAATATTTTCATTGTAAAATGACGTCACATAGTCTTTGAGCGCATACATATGATGGGTGGTGCCACTGGTCACCAGTGTAAATCTAAGCAAATCTGCTTAGTGGCAAATGTCAAAACAGTCATATCTGGGCCAAAACTACCCCAGAGAAACTTGTCCTGGAGACGCCTCTGCGCAAGCTAGAAACTAAAAAATTTGACACAATGTGCCCAATGAATAACAAGGAAAAGTCACCAATTTTTAAACCCCTAGCTTAAGTCATTTTCCGTCAAGAGCAAAAAAAAACTACAGGTGGGGGGGCCGATTTGCCCCCCCCCCCCCCTCCCCACCAGTACCTAATAGGGTTAAGGGTGATCAAAGGTCTTATGATGGCAATTTAAGGCAAAGGACAAATTCAGGCAAAGGTCTGAAGACCTTGAAAAGGCTGGAGCCAGGTTGGGATGAGACAAAAGGTAAATAAAAATGCTTGAAAATAAAAAGGCTGCATGAAATGAATTTCAGTAGGTACATAGGAATCAAAATGAATGCAAAATGAAAAAGATGCAAAACCTTATGAAAGTCAGGCCTTTAAAGGGACTATCCCACCTTCTAAAATGTTGTTAAAACCAGTTATATTGTGCCCGACTTTATAGATTGGATGACCAGGAACACGGTTCTGGCATTTATTTTTCATTAAACATCTTAGGCTTCCCATATTCCAAACACAAACTTTCAAATATGTGACGTCACAGCCCAAAATTACCTCCTTCCCCAGGCCACATTACTGTCATAAAGCTGATTCTTTTTACTCTGTAGGCACCACAACAAAGTTCAGACCAAGTTTTAAGTGATTTTTCAACGAACAAACCCATTTAAATCAGAATGACTAAACGAGGTGACGTCACACTAACGGTCGCTCCATGTTGAAGATAGGGCCTTGTACAAGGCCCATTTTCAAATGAAGGGAACGAATTTCTTCAACAACAAGAGGCCGCGGGGGTTGCAACCTAGATAGATAGTGGTTTCTGAACCTCACCGCAAACTTGGCTATCTCAACTCAAACCCCATGTTAAAGGTGGGATAGTCCCTTTAAGTTACTCAGTGCTTGTGCGAGGGTCATATTTTAACATTTATGAAGTTTACTAATAATTTCGAGCACGGCTCTGTCACTTGTCAGAATACAAAGTAAAAAATGCCACAATAAAATCCAGTGTATCACAGTCTGCAGTCAAAGGTTGGATTTTATCGTAGTATTTTTAGCTTTGTATTCTGATGAAGAGCTGTGCTCGAAATTACTAATAAAGTTAAAGTGTTGTCGCTTAACTTTTTTAACTACAGGGATAAGGTCATGGTCACTAATAAAAAAGTTAGGCCTTATAAAAACATTCTCTCTTTCAAAATTCTTGCATAGGTCTTTGGTATGGGCAAGGGCGGCAAGGGTATGCTATTTATATACACTGTGGGGTATGCAACCGGTCGCAAGCGCAATATTTACAAAAATGGAATGGAATATCTTCTAACACACCATACCATTATACAAACGTACACAGTGAAATAGTGTTCAATACATGATGCTGCATGATCGCTCGCTGCTTACCGCTCTGGAGAACCGACCAATCAGGATCGGCTAGGGTGAGGAAAAGTGCAAAGGAAGTGAGTGTAGCGATCATTTACAACGGATTGGATATTCTACTACTAATTCAAGCTCATTTAAGATCAATAAACTTGCTGACGAGATAAATTTTCTTTTTTTGTCCTTTGATCGCGAGTTTTCTCGATCTCCTATATGAAGTGCCAACAGCAAAATAAAAGTGCAACGAACAGGCTTCATGGAACCAGGTTTCTCGACATAAATGGCGAAAGTGATACATTCGACTTTTTGCTGCTTATGATGACGTCTATCAATTCAGCAGCAACGAATATCAGCCTCACAGCAGCATATTTCGGGGTCTTTTGATTTGGCTGAAAATCGGTATACAGGGCCTCCTCGATGCGCTGATTCCGAAAATGTACCTCTTTTGGGTGGTATTTTGCACCGTTAACGAGTTAACGACCAATTAACATTTTAACGGGAAACGGCGGGGTCTTTCGATTTGCCTGAAAATCGGTATACAGGGTCTCCTCGATGCGCTGATTCCGAAAATGTACCTCTTTGGGATGGTATTTGGCACCGTTAACGAGTTAACGACCAATTAACATTTTAACGGGAAACGTCGGGGTCTTTCGATTTGCCTGAAAATCGGTATACAGGGCCTCCTCGATGCGCTGATTCCGAAAATGTACCTCTTTGGGGTGGTATTTTGCACCGTTAACGAGTTAACGGCCAATTAACATTTTAACGGGAAACGGCGGGGTCTTTTGATTTGGCTGAAAATCGGTGTACAGAGCCTCCTCAATGCGCTGATTCCGAAAATGTGCCTCTTTGGGGTGGTATTTTGCACCGTTAACGAGTTAACGGCCAATTACACGTTTTAACGGGAAACGGCGGGGTCTTTCAATTTGGCTGAAAATCGGTGTACACTGTACAGGGCCTTCTCAATGCGCTGATTCCGAAAATGTACCTCTTTAGGGTGGTATTTTGCACCGTTAACGAGTTAACGACCAATTAACATTTTAACGGGAAACGGCGGGGTCTTTCGATTTGGCTGAAAATCAGTAAACAGGGCTTCCTCGATGCGCTGATTACGAAAATGTACCTCTTTAGGGTGGTATTTTGCACCGTTAACGAGTTAACGACCAAATAACATTTTAACGGGAAACGGCGGAGTCTTTCGATTTGGCTGAAAACCGGTATACAGGGCCTCCTCGATGCGCTGATTTCGAAAATGTGCCTCTTTGGGGTGATATTTTGCACCGTTAACGAGTTAACGATCCGTTAACATTTCAACAGCATATATCGATTTCAGCAGCAAATTTTCGGGGTCTTTCGATTTGGCTGAACATCGGTATACAGGGCCTCCTCGATGCGCTGATTCCGAAGATAAACCTCTTTGGGGTGGTATTTTGTACCGTTAACGAGTTAACGGCCAATTACACATTTTAACGGGAAACGGCGGGGTCTTTCGATTTGGCTGAAAATCGGTGGACAGGGCCCCCTCGATGCCCTGATTCCGAAAATGTACCTCTTCTGGGTGGTATTTTGAACCGTTAACGAGTTAACGACCAATTAACATTTTAACGGGAAACGGCGGGTTCTTTCGATTTGGCAGAAAATCAGTATACAGGGCCGTCTCGATGCGCTGATTTCGAAAATGTGCCTCTTTGGGGTGGTTATTTGCATCGTTAACGAGTTAACGATCCACTAATATTTCAACAGCATATATCGATTTCAGCAGCAAATTCGATTTGGCTTAAAATCGGTGTACAGGGTCTCCTCGATGCGCTGATTCCGAAACGTTACCTCTTTGGGGTGGTATTTTGCACCGTTAACGAGTTAACGACCAATTAACATTTTAACGGGAAACGGCGGGGTCTTTTGATTTGGCTAAAAATCGGTATACAGGGCCTCCTCGATGCGCTGATTCCGAAAATGTTATTTGGCCGTTAATTCGTTAACGATGCAAAATACCACCCCAAAGAGGTACCTTTTCGGAATCAGCGCATCAAGGAGACCCTGTACGCCGATTTTAAGCCAAATCGAAAGACCCCGAAAATTTGCTGCTGAAATCGATGTATGCTGCTGAAATGTTAACGGATCGTTAACTCGTTAACGATGCAAAATACCACCCCAAAGAGGTACATTTTCGAAATCAGCGCATCGAGAAGGCCCTGTATACTGATTTTCAGCCAAATCAAAAGACCCGCCGTTTCCCGTTAAAATAATAATTGGTCGTTAACTCGTTAACGGTGCCAAATACCACGCCAAAGAGGTACATTTTCGAAATCAGCGCATCGAGAAGGCCCTGTATACTGATTTTCAGCCAAATCGAAAGACCCGCCGTTTCCCGCTAAAATGTTAATTGGTCGTTAACTCGTTAACGGTGCAAAATACCATCCCAAAGAGGTACATTTTCGGAATCACCGCATCGAGGAGGCCCTGTACACCGATTTTAAGCCAAATCGAAAGACCCCGAAAATTTGCTGCTGAAATCGATATATGCTGCTGAAATGTTAACGGATCGTTAACTTGTTAACGGTGCAAAATACCATCCCAAAGAGCCACATTTTCGAAATCAGCGCATCGAGGAGGCCCTGTATATCGGTTTTCAGCCAAATCGAAAGACCCCGCCGTTTCCTGTTAAAAAATTAATTGGTCGTTAACTCGTTAACGGTGAAAAATACCACCCCAAAGAGGTACCTTTTCGGAATCAGCACATTGAGGAGGCCCTGTATACTGATTTTCAGCCAAATCGAAAAACCCCGCCGTATCCGGTTAAAATGTTAATTGGTCGTTAACTCGTTAACGGTGCAAAATACCACCCCAAAGAGGTACCTTTTCTGAATCAGCGCATCGAGGAGACCCTCTACACCGATTTTAAGCCAAATCGAAAGACCCCGAAAATTTGCTGCTGAAATCGATATATGCTGCTGAAATGTTAACGGATCGTTTACTCGTTAACGATGCAAAATACCAGCCCAAAGAGGCACATTTTCGAAATCAGCGCATCGTGAAGGCCCTGTATACTGATTTTCAGCCAAATCGAAAGACCCGCCGTTTCCCGTTAAAATGTTAATTTGTCGTTAACTCGTTAACGGTGCCAAATACCACCCCAAAGAGGTACATTTTCGGATTCAGCGCATCGAGAAGCCCTCTACACCGACTTTCAGCCAAATCGAAAGACCCCGCCGTTTCCCGTTAAAATGGTAATTGGTCGTTAACTCGTTAACGGTGCAAAATACCACCCCAAAAAGGTACATTTTCGGAATCAGCGCATCGACGAGGCCTAGTATACCGATTTTCAGCCAAATCGAAAGACCCCGCCGTTTCCCGTTAAAATGTTAATTGGTCGTTAACTCGTTAACGGTGCAAAATACCACCCCAAAGAGGTACATTTTCGGAAACACTGCATCAAGGAGGCCCTGTATACCGATTTTTAGCCGAATCGAAAGACCCTGCCGTTTCCCGTTAAAATGTTAGCTCTTTAACGGTGCAGGTCGTTAGCTCTTTAACGGTGCAAAAGACCACCCCAAAGAGGTACCTTTTCGGAATCAGCGCATCGAGGAGACCCTGTACACCGATTTTAAGCCAAATCGAAAGACCCCGAAAATTTGCTGCTGAAATCGATATATGCTGCTGAAATGTGAACGGATCGTTAACTCGTTAACGATGCAAAATACCACCCCAAAAAGGCGCATTTTAGAAATCAGCGCATCGAGACGGCCCTGTATACTGATTTTCAGCAAAATCGAAAGACCCCGCCGTTTCACGTTAAAATGTTTATTGGTCGTTAACTCGTTAACGGTGCAAATTACCACCCCAAAGAGGTACATTTTCGGAATCAGCGCATCGAGAAGGCGCTGTATATCGATTTTCAGCCAAAT